CGGAAAAAGCCTGCCGGCTGCTGTGCTGGAACTGGAGGTACTTCTCAGGTGGGCTCCAGCATAGAGTTGGAAACTCCTGCTCTCAGCCTCCGGCCTTGTGTGCAAGTGTGGAGTATTTTTTCTTGGCATTGTCTAGGCCGGAAGGCTTATGTGTTTGGGAAGTTTTTGTTGGGTCTTTGCTAATGCTTCTTTTGAACTCAAGGGCTGACTCTCAGACACAGCCCCAGCCCAGGAAATAGAGCCCTTCCTGTTCTCACATGTGCCTTCCCAGAGGGTGGGGTCTTTGTGGGTCCTAGGTATTGTTGTCTGCCTTAAATATTGCTTCCTGCCATTGACCCTCAGCCCTTGGGTCCCTGCAGACGGTTCATTAATCACGATGGCGATCATGATAATAGTATCCGTAGTAGCTAACTTGTATCAATCCTACCCATTGATCAAAGAATCCAGTGCCTGGGTGGCTCAGTCTGTTAAGCATCTGACTCTCGATCTCGGCTCAGGTCTTGATCTCAGGGTGGTGAATTCAAACCCCATGTTGGGCTCCATGCTGGGTGTGGAGCCTACTTAATAAAAACTAATCTAAATGAAAATCTAAATGGAAATGGACCCCAAAGAATCCAGTGCTTTATCCACACCATCTTTAGTTGTGAGAAGCTAAGGGATTTTACAAACTGTCCCCATTTTACAAACAAGAAAAGGGAGGCTGTTGCTTCTTTAAGGAAATCTTTATGGTGGGCCTGTGGGGTGGCGGGCGCCGTGTTGCCAAAGCTGAATGAGGGTCACTTCTTCCCTTGGCTGCACGGACCCTGTGAATGGCCATGGTGATTCTTTAGACCCAGGAATATCAGATTCAGAGCCAAAAGATCAAGGGTTTAGCTTTGACCCTGCTGCTTCTCAAAAGGGCCTGTTGTCTGGCCAATGTGAAATGGAGATACCAGTACCTACCCCTCTCTCTGCTGGAGTCTTTGTTAGAATTAAGTGAAAATCTAATGGGTGGTACGTAATCCCTAAAAAACCTACACAGACTTTCTTCCATCACCCACCTACCTTCCTTCCTTCCTTTCTTTTCTAAAAAAATATTTATTTATTCATGAGAGACACAGAGAGAGAGAGAGGCAGAGACACAGGTAGAGGGAGAAGTAGGCTCCCTACAGGGAGCCCGATGAGGGACTTGATCTCTGGACTCCAGGATCCCACCCTGGGCTGAAGGCAGGTGCTCAACCACTGAGCCACCCAGATGTTCCACCTGCCTTTATCCTGTTATAACTTATTAGTTCTTTCTGGGTCAATAGAGTAAAAAGTCAGAATATGTACCATGCAGAGATGCTCCAAATTTTGCATTTGCATGTAAATATTCATGATATTTGTGGAGCACCTGCAACTGGGGGATGAGTCCTGGATGCATTCTTGGGCCAGTGGCTAAAAGTTGGGTGCCTGGAACTGCTCCAGAGTCATTCCTTTTGCCTCCTCTCTGTGTGATTGGAGCTGTGCCTCCTGAGCTCCTGCTGGCGGAAGCCCCGTCTTAGGACTGGGTGTCCCAGGAGCGGGTGCTGTGAATGGAGCAGACATGGCCTGCCCTCTAGCCTTCCTCCTAGACAGATGGTCAACAAACAGCCAGTATAATTTTTGAGAGTGATAAATACCATAAGAAAAATGTCATCAGATACTGTGTTAGAACATGGTTAAGAAGGGGGGAGTGACTTCCAGTGGGGAGGTCAGGGAAGGTCTTTCTAAAGTGCTGGGACCTGAAGGACGAGAAGAGCCAGTCATCGGAAGGTAATGGGGAGGGCGCTCCAGCCAGTGGGGACAGCAGATGCAAAGGTCCTCAGGTAGGAGTGTGTGTGTGTGTGTGTGTGTGTGTGTGTGTGTACAGTGGGGGGGAGCAGAAAGGAGACCCAAATGGTTGCTGCCTGAGTCTAGGAGAAGGACTCCAAGGGGCCTAGACCACAAGGGACCTTGGAAGCCTTGGCAAGGACTTGATTTTCATTCTCAAAGCCTCTGCTGTCCAATGCAGGAGCCAGTAGCTACCTATGGTAAAATTAAAACTGAAATCCAGGGATGCCTGGGGGGCTCAGTGGTCAAGCGTCTGCCTTCAGCTCAGGGTGTGATCCCCGGGGTCCTGGGATCGAGTCCTGTATTGGGTTCCCTGTATGGAGCCTGCTTCTCCCTCTGCCTGTGTCTTGGCCTCTCTCTCCGTGTCTCTCATGAATAAATAAATAAAATCTTTAAAAAAAAAAACCCAGTGAAATCCAATGAAAAGTTTAATTCTTCAGTAGAAATTGGAACCCTTGGGTACGCTTGCTAGGAATGTAAAATGGTGCAGCCACTGTGGAAAACAGTATGGCAGTCCCTCAAAAAATTAAAAATAGAATTACCATTATGATTCAACAATTCTGCTGCTGGGTGTACACATAGGAGAATTGAAAGCCGAGTCTTGGAGACAGGTTTGTGTATCCATGATCTTCACAGCATTATTCACAATGCCCCAAAAGGTGGAAACAACCCAAGTGCCAATTGATGGATGAATGAAAAAATAAAATGTGGTATATGCACGCTGTAGAATGCTACTCAGCCTTAAAAAGGAGAGCAGTTCTGACACCTGGTACAATATGGATGAGTCGTGAAGACATTATGCTCAGTGAAATAAACCAGTCACATAAGGACACGTGGTATATGACTCCACTCCCAGGAGGTGCCCAGAGGAGTCCCGTCCACACGGACAGAGAGGAGATGGGGGGAGTTCAGGGCTAGGCAGGGGGTGGGTTGTCAGTGTTTGATTTTATTTATTTTTACTTTTTAAATATTTTTATTTATTTATTCATGAGGGATAGAGAGAAAGAGAGAGGCAGAGACACAGGCAGAGGGAGAAGCAGGCTCCTTGCGAGGAGCCCGACGCAGGACTTGATCCCAGGACCCCAGGATCATGACCTGAGCCAAAGGCAGACGCTCAACCACCGAGCCACCCCGGTGCCTGGGAATCAGTGTCCTAAATACAGACAGAGTTTCAGTCTGGGAAGAGGAGGACGTTTGGTGATGGATGGAGGGAATGGCTGGTCGCCGTGGCGGCGGCGGCGGTGGTGGTGGTGGTGGTGGTTATACCTTGGGCCCCTTTTAAGGGCCACTGAACTGTGCCCTTAAAAATGGCTAAGACGGTCAATTTTATGCTGTGTGTATTTTGCCACAATTAAAAAAAATTGGTTCCTCATTGCACTAACCACACACGAGAGCCGCAGGGGAGTAGTGGCTACCGTGTTGGTGTTGGACAGCGCAGCTCGAGAACATTCCCGTCCTCGCAGAAAGTTCCATCAGATGGTGCTGCTCCTGTGGGAACGCGGCTGCAGGGGCTGATTTGTTGGGCTCCGCTGGGGCCTTAATTAAAGTCACTGCAGCAAAGAGCCAGAGGGGCTTGGGGTCAGTAGCACTCACCAGCGTCCAAAGTGTGCTTCAGGCCCTGCAGAGTGTGTGAGCGAAGAAAGTGACTCCAAGGACCGGTGGGGTCACGGTCGAGGTCTGTCCAGCCTCAGCGAAGCCCCTGGTCCATGGACAGATTTGTCCACAGACTGGGAAGGGAGGCCCTGTTATTAGGGACCAGGCTGGTTATTAGGGACCAGGCTGGATGCTGAGAGACTGAAATCAAGGGGGGGGTGTGTGTATTTAGGGGATGGGTGACAAGCTGCTGGGGGAAGCCAGGCCAGAGTCCAGCCCTGGGGAGGCGAGATCAGCTGTGTGGAGCCAGGAGCTCCCCGGGCCATGAAATCAGAGGCCAACTTCTGGCCTCCCCACCTGCAGGGACCAGAAACACCCCTCCCCTAACCTCCCGCTCCGTGCTTGTTGCTTAGGCACTTGCCCAGCTGTGTGAGTGAGTGACTAACCTGCTTCTTCCCTTAGACCCTGCGCAGCGCCGCAGGGAGGGTCTGTGGCCACCTGGGCCCTGCACTTCCTTGTTCTTTGGCTGCAACGTTTAGATCGAGGCGATCGGATGTCTGTTGAAGTGATAAATGACCTTTGGGCAATTGGCTTAACTTTCCTGTACCTTGGTTTCCCCCCTTGTAACGTGGAGGAAATGGACAAAATACCGTCTGTTTTTACCAGTCCCGTAGGAGCGTGCTGGAGCCAGCTTGCTGGAGCCCACGGTCACACTGACAGGACATTCGTGAACTGGTGATTAAAGAAGCCGCTGTGGAAGTTTATGTGCTGTAGACTTATAATTAACAAAATCTGGTAAAAAAAAAAAAAAAAGAAAAAGAAAAAACACAAAAAAACGGAGGCGACAGGAATACCTGGGTGGCTCAGTGGTTGAGCATCTGCTTTCAGCTCAGGGCGTGATCCCGGGGTCCCGGGTCCCCGCAGGGAGCCTGCTTCCCCTTCTGCCTGTGTCTCTCATAAATAAATAAATAAAATCTAAAAAAAAAAAAAGTAAATTCAAAATAAAGCAAAACATCTGAGGCACCTGCATGGCTCAGTGGTTGAGTGCCTGCCTTTGGCTCAGGTTATGATCCCGGGTTCCTGGGATTGAGTCCTGCGTCAGTCTCCTTGTGGGCAGCCTGCTTCTCCCTCTGCCTATGTCTCTGCCTCTCATGAATAAATAAATAAAATATTTTTTTAAGTAAATTGTTTAATTAATTAATTAATTCATTCATTCATGAAAGATACACAGAGAGAGAGGCAGAGACACAGGCAGAGGGAGAAGCAGGCTCCCTGCGGGGACCCCGAAGCGGGACTCGATCCCCGGACCCTGGGATCACGCCCTGAGCTGAAAGCAGATGCTCACCCACTGAGCCACCCAGGTGCCCCCCGAAGTGCTCCTAAACACCGAGGAGCACGCCACTGGCTCGGGGGCTGACACGAGTTGTTAGTTGTGCGTGGCATGGAGCAAGTACAGTAGAAGTGAGACTCTTCCCGTTACTATTTTGTTTGGCTTGCACTCCCTCACCCAGACCTGCCGTCTATGCAGACAGCAATTGGGCGAAGCTGTTGACCAGCTGTTTTCTTTCCCCCTCCAGTTTGTCCGACCATCTGCAAGTCGCATGGTTGCACCGCCGAGGGCCTCTGCTGCCACAGCGAGTGTTTAGGCAACTGCTCCGAGCCCGACGACCCCACCAAGTGCGTGGCCTGTCGCAACTTCTACCTGGATGGCAGGTGCGTGGAGACCTGCCCGCCCCCGTACTACCACTTCCAAGACTGGCGCTGCGTGAACTTCAGCTTCTGCCAGGACCTGCACAACAAATGCAAGAACTCCCGGAGACAGGGCTGCCACCAGTACGTCATCCACAATAACAAGTGCATCCCCGAGTGCCCCTCTGGCTACACGATGAATTCCAGCAAGTGAGTCCTGGGCGCAGGTTCCGGGGAGGGAGGGGGTGCGGCACAGAGGGGGAAGCGGCGCGGGCTTGGCGGTGGGGGTGGCACCTGTTAAAACTGTGTGACACGCAGGAGTTAACTGGCTACGAGCAAGTGGCCAGCTTCTTGGGTCTGTCGGATGCTGTTTCTGCCTCCTGTTTCCATCCTGGCCTTTGGAGCAGGAGTCGACTAGCTTTCTGTAAAGGACGAGAGAGTAGAGGTAAATGTTTTCAACACCTTTGCACACCCCTTTATAAAGGTTTCCTGTGCTTAGCTTTGGGAATAGAAGATGCAAAAGCAGGAGCGCTTGGTTTTCTGCTAGAATCCTTCACGTGGACAGGACTGTCCGCAGTGATGGAGCTGCCCAGGCGTTACAACCAAGAGCAGAGCTGAGGTTTTTACGTTTTCTGCACCCCGGAGCCAGGCAGCGAGCTGAGATTAGCCTGGATCACAAGGAAGAAGAGACTCCATTCTAGACTATTCTCAGGACTTCACCTCTTTTTGAAGGACGGTGCCATCAGACTGTTTCCTCCTGTTCGGGTGAGGAATACGGTTTTCTGTCCTCGGCGGTGAGTCAGATTTCCTACGCACATCACAGACTTTTTGTTCATGTTGTTAGCTTCTCAGATGAGCTATTTCGGTGTCTCAGGGCTGTAACCAAGTTTAAAAAATCTGTTTCCTGGTTTTTGTGCGGAGGGTTGGAAAAAAAAAAAAACCTCACAAAACAACAAAAACCAAATCAGAAACAGACGCACGTCAAGGGGCCTTGAGCTGATCTGCTTACGTAAAAAATCTTCCTCTTCAGACTTGAGAATTAGCCAAGCGAGCGTGTTCTGGTGGGAAATTTTATTTCCCCGGGTGGAGTGGGTGGGAAGGAAAACAATCTTTATTTCAGTCCTTAGGAGCCTCTCTTGGAGTGTTTGTGAAACCTGCAAGTACAACATGTTTTGTTTTACTTGTTTTTGATAAAACCTATCAAGTGGCTTTGTTGGTCAAAAATAGGCTTCTATAAATCACCTTTGCATGCCAGACAGTTTTTTTTTTCTTTTTTTTTTTCCTGGCCAGTTTATCAGTCAGGTTGGGAAAACGACTATATTCCTTTTGATTCGTATCTGGGGTTTTTTTGTTTTGTTTTTGTTTTTCCATGTTTGAAATAAAGCATGGATATTAACATCTTCCGCTGAGATGTTTGTTTAAAAGACACTGGCTTTACATAAAAGGTATTTTTTTTGCTTCCCTGACCATAACCGAGACCTGAGATGTAGAGGAGATTTCTTTGATGCGATTGCTGATGGTACAATAGCCCCTAGAACTGAAACCCCGGGAAACTGGCAGCACGTCCTGTGATGTCTGGGACCTTTACTGAGGGGAGGAGGGCAAAGTGAGAGACGCCAATTATAACTTGTTGTAGCAATATTTTACTTTGTTGGTTTAAAAAAAATTACCAGCATTCCATTTTTTAAAAAATATTTTATTTATTCATGAGAGAGACAGAGAGGGGCAGAGACACAGGCAGAGGGAGAAGCAGGCTCCCTGCAGGGAGCCCGATGCGGGACTTGATCCCCGGACCCTGGGATCACACCCTGAGCTGAAGGCAGATGCTTAACCACTGAGCCACCCAGGTGCCCCATAGCTTTCCTTCCGAAGCTTTTTATTTTATGAAAGACTTTAGGGCCCTCGTTTTCTAATGTGGTTTGATATCAAATAGGACCAGATATGTTTTCTTCCAGTCTGGTGGTTTATCTGGGAAATTGGTGTCTGACAGTTTCAGAACAGAGGTCTCGGAACCCACGTGATTGATTAAGAAGCCTCACTGTCTATGGTCCCTTTGAGGTACCTGGTGGGAGCACCAGGGTGCCCTTTACTGGCACGAGGAGGGCTCGATATTTGAGTGACTGTTAAGAGTGCGGCAGGTGTGGGGCATCCCCTAGAATGATCTTGGTGTGGCTGGCTTCTTGTCATCCAGGTCGCAGCCGAAAAGTCACTTCCTCTGAGAACCCTTCTTCCCTATCTGACCGCCCTGTCTGAATTAGCATCTAGCTCCTTCTTGCCATATCACACAGTTTTCACTCTGATCAATGATATTTGATAAATGATTCAATATCACCAACTGATATCACAATGATTCAGATATCACTAATTGATATTTTAATTGCCAATTTGTTCATTTTAACCCAACCTGACCGTATGTTTCACAAGTGTATTGGTCAGCTCTTTCTGTGTAACAAACCACCCAACACTCAGTGACCTTAAACAACACTCATTTATGATTTATAGTGATTTCGTGGGTTGACGGGTGGTTTGTCTGGCTGGGCCGAGCCAGCCTGGACTGGATGGCATGGCAAAGCCTCTCATATCGTAGATGGGCAGCCGAGGCCTCCCTCCATGTGGTTTCTCAGCCCAGCAGCCAGGGAGGGCTGCCCCCATGTGTGTGCAAGTACTTTTCAAGCCTCTGCTTGCGTTACATTTGTTAACGTCCCATTGGCCAAAGCAAGTCACACGGCCAAGCCCAGATTCACTGAATGGGGGAGTAAACCGCACTTCTTGGTGGGATGGGCTGCAAACAACCTGTGGCCATTATAACCTCCCACAGGGAAAGTACGTCGTCTGTTTTGCTCACTCCTGTGTGCCTGCAGCTTCAAACGGGCGTTGGCAAAGGGCCAGATAGTAAATATTTTCAGCTCTGAGGGCCATATGGTCTCTGTTGCAGCTACGCAACTCAGCCCCTATAGCATGCGAGCAGCCATAGACGATACACAAACCGACGGGTGTGTCTGGGCTCTGGCGTAATGTTATTTGTAAAGACAGGTGGCCAGCTGGCTTTGGCCTGCAGGCCGGAGTTTGCCGACCCCTGGCTTAGAATATCACCTGTCACATAATAGGTGCTCTGTGAATATTTGCAGAATCAACAAAAGAACCCAAACATTTGGTCACTCTTCGGTTTCCACCCCAGCTGCTCTGGTATCAACCAGGTGTCTGCAATGCAGTTCTGACCCTCTCCACCTCCTGCAGTGAGCATCACACTGTGTCCTTCATAAGACTGCCCTCACTCCAGATACCAGCCACGCTTTGGGGGTACCCAGGCCACCCGTACTTCTCATCAGCTGGCTATAAACATAGGGGTTCTCACATATCCGTTTTTTTTTAATTTTTATTTATTTATGATAGTCTCCCACACACACACACACACCAGAGAGAGAGAGAGAGAGAGAGAGAGAGAGAGAGAGAGGGGCAGAGACACAGGCAGAGGGAGAAGCAGGCTCCATGCACCGGGGGCCCGACGTGGGATTCGATCCCGGGTCTCCAGGATCGCGCCCTGGGCCAAGGGCAGGCGCCAAACCGCTGCGCCACCCAGGGATCCCACGTATCCGTTTTAGGTTTGATAATTTGCTCGAACAAGTTGCGGAATTTACATTACAAAAAAAAGAAAAGAAAAGAAAAGAAAAGAAAAGAAAGCCATGCTGTTCAGTCCGTCCCGAGCCTGTTAACGGTAGCATCCTTGGTTAGGGATGCCCACAGGGCTCTCCCAGGAGGCAGGCATCGCATGTGGCGAGCTCCAGACCTTTCCCCATCAGGGCCCCTGTTTATGGCTGGGCCGGCCCTGGTGGTTCTCATTACGATCGCCACACGTGCTTCAGCAAAGACCATCTGGGACCCTTGAGGAAGGAGGGTTATGACTCACAAGGCCTCACCAGAGTGCTCACAGCACCCTCATGGGCCACACAGTGAGCTCACGGGGAGAGAGAGAGAGAGAGAGAGAGAGAGAGAGAGAGGACTGACAGTGTGGACTGGGGGCTCCGCCTTTGTTAGGGTCCGAAGTGGGCTGTCCAGGGTTTCATGGGATCACTCTTTACTGGTGAATCTAAAGCATAAGAAGAGGAATTGGGGCGGGACGGAAGTGGGGTCACTCGGGCAGGCAACTCTCTAGGCCACCCAGGGCTTTCTGGAAGAGGGAGCTTCATGGCCGGGCAGCCAGGTTCCTTATCGGCCGTGTTGCTCCGACGTGTCCTGCAACTGGCCATACATTTATTCCAGAGGGATGTCTTAGGAAGTGGATGCCTTGGCAATCAAAGCTTACCATCAGGCACTTACACTACCCATATTACAACTGCAGCTTTATTATTAGGGACGCACATGTTATCAAGGAGAGAGCCCCAGCTCTGCCCTGTGGAATCCTACATGCATTCACTGTCCAGGACGCGCCACTGAGTGGGTATCCAGAATTTTTCCTGGGGTCTCATCACATAGGTGTGCGATCAAGCGAATCCTTGACCACGTGATTGAACTCCGTCTCCAGTGGCTGAAAGACCCACAGATCTAATCCTATCATTGGTGTTTTGGGTGACCAGCCCCCATCCTAGAGTTGCATGGGACCACCACCCGTCACCTCACTAGCATAGCAGAGATGCTCCTACCTCGCAGAAAATTCCAAGGGCCTTTGGAGCTCCGTGCCAGGGCCTGAGACTGCCACCCCAAAGGTCATTCTGAAGAACTGAACATGCCAGGGGTGTGTAGCCAACACCAGTAGCAACGACGATACCACTGATAAAAAGCGGTCATCAGAGCAAGAACTGATGATTCTTGTTTTCTGTGTGCCAAGTGCTTTAGACGGTTTCTCCCTCTGGGAAGTTCTGGTAAAACCCTCACTGGGCTGACTTGGGTGCATGCCCACCTCTGAACCAGGGGGATGAGAGTGACAGGATTTAGGCCGTTACCCAGAGGGATGGAAGATGGGGCCCTGCCTGGCCCGGACCCTGTGTCTTACTTGGACCTACGAGGGCCACGCTCACCAAGAATGTACCTTGCACCCTGCGTGGGGGAGGGCTGGCTCCCCAGGGATCCCTGGGGGCTGTGTATTCGGGGACCTTCGGCTGTCATCAGTGAAGCCACAGGCTGCTGTCACATGCTGTTCTGCATGAGGCTGTGTTCTAGGTGTGGGCACGTCAGATCCCCACAACAGCAAGCGCCCAATCTCCTTGGGGCAGCTGCCTGAGATCTGCCTTGGGGGGGCAGTGGAAGCCCCCCGAAAGGCCCGTGAGCTCAGAATAATTCCCATCACTGTGGTGACAGCCAAGCCCCATCCCTTCAGTGTGATGGTGTGAGTCCTGTCTCTTCGGGGTAGAGCGTGATCCTCCATGGGGGCTGGGGGGCAGCGTGAATCCCATTCCTCTGGGGTATGGCAGGAGCCCCATTGTTTTGGGGGGCAAGTGTGAGTCCCCTGACTTCGGGGTAATGCTGTTGGGCTTGCCACCATGGAGGCCTGGCAGGGGGTGCTTTGCCCCCGGTCCCCACAGGGGACAATGTTTGGAGCCATTTTTGGCTGTCATGCCGTCGGGGCAGGTGCTACTGGCAGCAAGTGGGTGAGGGCCAGGGATGCCACAGGACACCCTCACAGCGGAGAATTCTTGGGCCCAGATGTCAGGGTGCCGTGGGTGTAGCACCCAGCCTCAGGGTAGGGGTGTAACCTGCCACGCGCATGGGGTCCTGGGTGCCCTGACCCCCTCTCTCCGCTCTTTCTTCAGCCTGATGTGCACTCCGTGCCTGGGCCCCTGTCCCAAGGTCTGCCACATTCTGGAAGGCGAGAAGACCATCGACTCAGTGACGTCTGCCCAGGAGCTTCGAGGCTGCACTGTTGTCAACGGAAGTCTAATCATCAACATTCGAGGGGGAAGTGAGTGCTGGGGGGGGTGCTGGGGGGGGCTGCAGCAGGCCGGGACCCACCTGCCCAGACACACGTCAGTCCCTTGAGGCGTTGGCTTCCAGACCTGAAATTCACAGCCCAGTCCTGGCCCCAGCTGCCCCGAGATTCTAATTTTCCAAGTTGGAAATTAATGTTTCTATGCGGGAATTTGCATTTTTATTTATGTATTAAAATTTTGTTTTCTGGGGATCCCTGGGTGGCTCAGCGGTTTAGCGCCTGCCTTTGGCCCGGGGCGCGATCCTGGAGTCCCGGGTTCGAGTCCCACGTCAGGCTCCCTGCATGGAGCCTGCCTCTCCCTCCTCCTGTGTCTCTGCCGCCCCCCCGTCTATCATAAATCAATCAATCAATCAATCTTTAAAAAAATTTGTTTTCTGTGTTTTAAAGATTTTTATTTATTTATTCCTGAGAGAGAGAGAGAGAGAGAGAGAGAGAGAGGCAGAGACACAGGCTGAGGGAGAAGCAGGCTCCCCTCACAGAGCCCGATGTGGGGCTCGATCCCTGGACCCGAGATCTGGGATGATGCCCTAAGCTGAAGGCAGATGCTCAACTGCTGAGCCACCCAGATGCCCCCTGGAATTTGCATTTTTTTAAACAAGTAGGCAGCATGCCTGCCGCGTTGCAGGTCGGGGACCGTGTTTCCAGAAATACCATGGCAGGCAAAAAGGCATCCCTCTGTTTACTTATTCAGCAAACATTTACCAAATACTCGCAGTGAAGAAAGCAAAGCCCATGTGTGATGGAGCTTACGAATAAGCCCATCATCGTACATAGAACGTAAACCTGGGGTGGATCCCACTACGAAAGGAGGAAGTAAAGCAGAGGTAACGGAGGGAGCGGAGATCGGCGACTCTTTCTTATAAAGGGCCATATAATAAATATATTCAGCTGTGCAGGCCAGATGGTCTCTGCCATAACTACTGCTCTCGTAGAGGAAGATCAGCCGTAGAGAACTTGTGAACAACTGGGCGAGACTTTTCCAATTAAACTTTATTGACAAAACAGACTGGGCTTGGCCTCTGGGCTGTCATTTGCCAACCTCTGAAATAGAGGATAAGGGGTTTGCTGTTTTCAAAGGGTTTATGGTCTGAGGTGGGATGCTTTGAGCTGAGAGGAAGCACACCAAGCAGATGTATGAGAGAATAATAGTCTGGGCAAAGGAGGAAGCCAGTGCAAAGGTCCTGAGGCAGAAGGAGGCCTGGCTTGTTTAAAGAATGACAGGGAGGCCTGTGTGTCTGGAGGAGGGTAGACAAGGTAAAGGATGAGAAAAAAAAAAAAAACACTGGTCACTTATATAGGGACTTGCAGACCTTGCGGTACAGGCTTGGGGTTCTTGTTCTGAGTATGATGCATTTTGATCAGGGTATGTTGAAGTCATCTGCAGCCTATAGGTTGACTCCTCATTATGGGAAGTTATGGGAAGATTAAAGTATTTCTGTAGAAGCTCATTGGATATTCTCTCCTTTCTTTAGACAACCTGGCGGCTGAGCTGGAGGCCAACCTCGGACTCATTGAAGAGATTTCCGGGTACCTGAAAATCCGGAGATCCTATGCTCTTGTGTCTCTTTCCTTTTTCCGGAAGTTACGGCTGATTCGAGGGGAGACCTTGGAGATCGGGTAGGTGGCCCGGTTCTGGGTGTGTCCTGAATGCTCCCTGGGAGGTTTGTGAGTTCAAACAACTTAGGGATTTTTGCCAAGACGTGGAAACACCTGTGTCCATGGACGGATGAATGGATAAAGATGTGGCACACACACGCAGTGGAGTATCACTCGGCCATAAAAAGGGAGGAAATCCTGCCATTTGCGACAATATGTACGGAGCTTGAGGATGTTACGCCAAGTGAGATAAGTCAGCGAAACACAAATGCTGTAGGATCTCACTTATGTGAGGCATCTAAAAACAAAACCACAAAACCAGGTTTATAGATAAGAGAATAGATTGGCGGTTACCAGAGGTTGGGGGACCGTGGGTCAGTGGGGGGACTGGGTGGAGGGGAACAGGTGCCAGGGGTCAACAGGCACGAATTTCTAGTTATAAAATAAATACATCCTGGGGAGGTGATGTACCACCCGGTGACTGTAATTAACCAACCTGTATTTTACATTTGAAAGTTGCTGAGACTGTAAATCTTAAAAGTTCTCATCACAGGAAACAATTTATTTTTTAAAGATTTTATTAATTTATTCATCAGAGACACACAGAGAGAGAGGCAGAGACACAGGCAGAGGGAGAAGTGGGCTCCCTGTGAGGAGCCTAATGTGGGACTCGATCTCAGGACCCTGGGATCACACCCTGAGCTGAAAGTAGACGCTCATCCACTGAGCCACCCAGGTGCCCCAGAAACTTTTTTTTTTTTAAATGCTGTGAAGTGATGGATGTGAACTGAACTTAGGGTGGGTTTTTTTTTTTATCGTTTTGTAATATCTACAGATATCAATTGTAATATTGTATGCCTGAAACTAATACAGTCTTATTAATCAGTTATATTTCAATAAAACTGGGGGTGGGGCGAGAAAACTTTAGTTTTTATTTATTTATTTTTTATTTTTTTTACTGAGGTATAGTTGGCATGTAATATTATGTTTCAGGTGATAACATAATGATTCTATATTTGCATATATTGATATTTGCATACATTGCAAAATGATCACCAGGGTAAGTCTAGTTAAGAACCATCACCCCATATAGTTACAGGATTTTTTTCTTGTGTTGGGAACTTTTTTAAGATCTATTCTCTTAGCTTTTAAATATGCGGTACAGTATTATTAACTATACTTACAATGATATAACTTAGGGTGTTTAAAAAGTATTTAATTATTTGAGAGAGAGAGAGCACAAGCAGGAGGAGCATCAGAGGGAGGGGGAGAAGCAGACTCCCCAGCTGAGCAGGGAGACTGATGTGGGTCTTGATCCCAGGACCCTGGGATCATGACCTGAGCTGATGGCAGATGCTTAACTGACTGAGCTCCCCAGATACCCCAACTTAGGATCTAGGTTCTGTCCATTTTTGTGCTCCTCGTGGTCTCAAGATGGCTGCTTCGCCTCCAGCCTCACAACTGAGGAACCAGTGGGAAAAGGGGAAGGACAAAGGCCCATGCCAATTGAGAATGTCTCCTTAAGAAATAAAACCCTGCCTGGACCCTTCCACACTCTCAACCCCAACACTGATTTCTCATGTCTCCTTGGCGAGAACAGGGTCAAGTGGCTGCTCCCAGTTGCAAGGAAGGCTGGATGCATGAATATTTACCTTTTCCAATCTGTATAGTAGAGGAAGTCAGAGAAGCGGGAGGGGACTATGAGTGGCATTTGAGAAGCCACTGCACTGAATTGTTTAGACCACCTTCTTTTTTAAATATGGATTTTTTAAAATTTTTATTTATTTATGATAGTCACACAGAGAAAGAGAGAGAGGCAGAGACATAGGCAGAGGGAGAAGCAGGCTCCATGCACCGGGAGCCCGACGTGGGATTCGATCCCGGGTCTCCAGGATCGCGCCCTGGGCCAAAGGCAGGCGCCAAACCGCTGCGCCACCCAGGGATCCCCTAGACCACCTTCTTGAATCATTCACCAGCTCATGCTGATTTTTCTGCCATAAAATTGCCTTGTTTGCTGAGGTCTAGACCTTTCATTTGGATTGTTCTTATGACCCCCTACATAGGTGTCCTAGAACTAGACCCGTACCATCCACTAGAGATATGGTACAAGTCAGGGGTGCCTGGGTGGCTCAGTCTGTTGAGAGTCTGACTCTTGATCTTAGCTCAGGTCTTGATCTCAGGGTTGTGAGTTCAAGCCCTGCATTGGACTCCATACTGAGCACAGAGCCTGCTTTAAAAAAAAAAAATCAGTGAGTAATAATCAATTCAGACATGAATAGATAGTAAATGGTGAAAATTTGATGAGTAACAGGATATTTACAGAGTCTCAAAGTACCTCCCCATAAGATTAAAAAAAAAAAGAAAGAAATGTGACACAAGTGACTTTAAATAATCCAGTGGCCACATTTTAAAGTCTTCAAAACGAATCAGGGAAGTGAATTTTAATAATGCATTTTACTGAAACTGTTCCATCTGAGATGTTATTTTGACGTGGACTCAAACTAGGAAAATGAAAGAGGAGGTTTCTTACATTCTTTCTCTGCCTGTGACAAGCCAGGGAATGACAAGGTTTGTGTGTGTTCCCGTAGGAACTACTCTTTCTATGCCTTGGACAACCAGAACCTAAGGCAGCTATGGGACTGGAGCAAACACAACCTCACCATCACTCAGGGGAAACTCTTCTTCCACTATAATCCCAAACTCTGCTTGTCTGAGATCCACAAGATGGAGGAAGTCTCAGGAACCAAGGGGCGCCAGGAGAGGAACGACATTGCCCTGAAGACCAACGGGGACCAGGCGTCTTGTAAGTGGTGATGTCCTGGTCCTTCCAGCCCGAGGACCAGATAAGGCGGCTGCCTTTCTCCTCGAGCACTGCACGGGTCCTCAGCGGGGTGGGGTGGGGTGGAGTTGGTGGCAGGTGTGATTGCCCCCCACAAGCTAAAGCAGCTCAGAGCTCTATTTCTGCAATGCCAAGGACAGGTCTATCATATCTCTGTGATTTCAGAGAGACAGTGCCTGATTTTGGAAGATGCCACATCTGCATTGAATGAATGAATGAATGAATGCATGCATGAATGAATGGAATTCTCCTTATAGGTGACCTTGGCTCTAGTGCTCCAGCAGGTCCTGCAGCTGCTGCATAGCTGGAGGCTACCAGCTGACTTCACTCCTCTGACAGGTTCTCTCTCAAGGGAATATCAGAGCAGCGAGGTGCCAAGGCTTCCAAGAGCTGGGTCTTTGCCACAGATTTGTGGGAATTCAGGAGAGGGAGAGAGAGCAAGGTTGGGGTGGAGCTTAGGGGGGGCTTGCATCCCACTCTTTCTAAGGCATCGTCTCTCCAAGGCCTGCGTGCTCTCTAAACTCACTTGGCCCATATTCAGTTTGCACTGGAGTCATATATTCCGACATGGAAGGCTTGAAAGTCCACATGTGTGAGAAAATTGTGCCAGGACAGTCGTTACTCTTGAAAAATCACTTTTCCCAATAATTATCAGCCAGTTGTCCTTCTCAGTTCGGTGCTGACTACTGTTCCTGTGTTGAGCATCTGGCTGCGTGGGGACCAACTCGCGTGACCAGTTCTTGCCTCTGAACACCAGGAGGAGGCTTGTGGGGGTGAGACCCATCCGGGGAGCAGCAGGCCGACACCTCCCTTCTCGCAGATGCTCTTGGAAATGTTGGGTCACCTGTTGGGGCCTGAAACAAGTTTTTAATGCTGATGTCGTTAATGTTTTTAAGCTTTTTTTGTTTTGTTTTGTTTTGTTTTTGTTTTTAAACTTTTCTAGGTGAAAACGAACTACTTAAATTTTCTTACATTCGGACGTCTTATGACAAGATCTTGCTGAAATGGGAGCCCTACTGGCCCCCCGACTTCCGAGACCTCCTGGGGTTCATGCTCTTCTACAAAGAGGCGTAAGTAAAGGGTATAGACATGTGTGGGTTTGTGTGTTCAGAGGTTCCCCTCTGAGGTGCCTCTATCTCTCTCTTCCTTGTGGAATAGCGATTACAGGTTCCCTTTTATCATCTCACAAGCTGATGGCATGTGAAGTTAGTAACATCCTCATTTGTCAAAACCAGAAATTGAAGCAGGTTTCTTTTGGCCAAGTTCCTACGGCAATATTCCATTTTGCCTCATATACCTCAACAAGACGTCCTTAACAAAATTTGCTCAGTTCGCTGAGTGGGTCTTTAAAAATTTATTTTTGTATCCATTTTCTATTTTTTTCCAACCTTTAAAGAATTTATTTTCATTTTTATTATTTTTATTTTATTATTTTTTTTATTGGAGTTCAATTTGCCAACATAGAGCATAACACCCAGTGCTCATCCCGCCAAGTGCCCCCCCCCAGTGCCCGTCACCCAGTCACCCCAACCCCCCGCCCACCTCCCCTTCCACCGCCCCTTGTTCATTTCCCAGAGCTAGGGGTCTCTCATGTTTCGTCACCCTCACTGATATTTTCATTCATTTTCTTTCCTTTCCCCTTTATTCCCTTTCACTATTTTTTATATTCCCCAAATGAATGAGACCATATAATGTTTGTCTTCTGATTGACTGATTTCACTCAGCATAATACCCTCCAGTTCCATTCATGTCGAAGCAAATCCAACCTTTAATTGTGGCAAAACATGTCTTATGTAAAATTGACCATTTGAACCATGCTTACGTGTCCTGCTCAGTTGCATGAAGTACATTTGCAGTGTTGTGCAAACATCACCAGCATCCATCTCTAGAACTTTCTCATCTTCTCAAACTAAAACTGTCTCCATTAAACTTGGTCATTTTGGGACACCTGGGTGGCTCAGTGGTTGAGCATCTGCCTTCGGCTCAGGGCATGATCCTGGGGTCCTGGGATCGAATCTTGCATTGGGCTCCCCACAGGGAGCCTGCTTCTCTCTCTGCCTATGTCTCTGCCTCTCTCTCTCTGCATCTCTCGTGAATAAATAAATAAAATCTTAAAAAAAACCACAAAAATACAAAAAGCAAAACTTGTTCATTTTGAGTACAATTGAGCCTTGAACAATGCAGAAGTTAGGGGCACTGACCACCACCCAAGTCAAAAATCCGCATATAACTTTTGATTCCCCTAAAACTTAACTACTAATAGCCTACCATTGGCTGGAAGCCTCACCGATCACATAAACCGTTTGATATGTGTTTTGTATATTATATGTATTATTGACTTATTCTTACAATAAAGTCAGCTAGTAGTAGTAAAAGGAAAATGTTCTTAAGAAAACCGTAAGGGAGGGAAAATGCATTTATGGCCTTGTACTTTAAAAAAATTCATGTGTGAATGGGCCCACCCAGTCCAGCCCATGTTGTTCAAGGGTCTACTATATACGACTGTACTGAAATTCTTTTTTTAAAAGATTTTATTAAAAAAAAGATTTTATTTTTATGTAATCTCTATACCCAACTTGGGGTTCGAACTTACAACCCCAAGGTCAGGAGTTAAACACGCTCCACCCACCAAGCCAGCCAGGCATCCTTGACTTTCCTGAAATTCTAAAGGGAGATGGTGGAAGTTGTGATTATATTCCTAGTAATACTTGTTCCATCTCTGAAGATTTATCATGTGTCTGTGTGCTGAGAAGTAGCACACAATCTCTCATGCAGTCTTTTCTTTTTAAAAGATTTTATTTATTTATTTATTTATTTATTTATTTATTTATTTATTTATTTATTTATGAGAGAACAAGTGAGCATGCACACGGGGGGGGGGGAGCAGAGGGAGAGGGAGAGAGAATCTCATGCAGACTCTGTGCTGAGCATAGAGCCCGACATGGGGCTCGATCTCACAACCCTGAGATCACTGCCTCAGCTGAAATCAAGAGACAGATGCTTAACGGCTGAGCCCCCTAGGTGCCCCTCTCATGCAGTCTTACCAATAGGTAGCGAGGTAGTTGGTGTCATCATCACTACTGACAATAGTCGGAAAGTTGAATGATAAGGGGAAGAGTCCCCTCTCTTCGGGACCTATGTCATTTTTCCTGGTGGCGTCAGATTTTTGGTGAACAGGAGACAACCCTATAGGATGTCACCTCCCCTGCTGCATATCTGTCCTCAGAGCCATAGTCATGGAATGATACCTGCCTTCTCCTGCTTTGTCTTGAAAGCCCTTATCAGAATGTGACCGAGTTTGATGGGCAGGATGCGTGTGGCTCCAACAGCTGGACGGTGGTGGACATTGACCCACCTCTGCGGTCCAACGACCCCAAATCGCAGAACCACCCGGGGTGGCTGATGCGGGGTCTCAAGCCCTGGACCCAATATGCCATCTTTGTCAAGACCTTGGTCACCTTTTCTGATGAACGCCGCACGTATGGAGCCAAGAGTGACATCATCTATGTGCAGACAGATGCCACTAGTAAGTGTTTCTTCCGTGGCCTGGACATCTTGCCTTGAACGGGTCGACACAGTAACATTTGTAGGAAGTGCTCTTTTATGTGGTTATTGGCTTCTGAAAGCATCGGCTGTTCTTTTGTAATTTCAAAAGACAAGGCAGTAGCAACAAGCCACCTGAGGAGTCTATAAATATTCCTTCCCATTCTGGAAAATTTCCAAATAATTCACAAAAGTCGGAAAAAAAATGAACACCATGGACTGTCTCCCAGCTTCAACAATTACAGTGTTGTGCTATTTTTATTTCATTTCTGTGCCCTACCCCCCTCCATTTTTTGGGGGGGGCCTGGAATATTTCATAGCGATTTAGTTGTATTTGTATTTTTATAAAGCCTAAGTCATTCTCCTGTGGTGGAAGTTCTCAATCCAGGGGTGATTCTGCACCCCCACGGACATCTGGTGAGGTTTGGAGACAGTTTTGGGTGTCATGACAGTGGAGGTGGGGTTACCGGCATCAGATGCTGCTCAGCATCCAGCGATGCACAGGGCACAGCCCCATACCCAAGAATTACCTGGCCCCAGATGTCTGTAGTACTGAGAGCGAGGAGCCCTGTCCCATGGGATATAGTCCAGACTTTATGAGTCGGGCTCCTCCCCCCCCCCCCCCCCCCCCGCCATCTCGTATCCTCCAGCAATACCAAAGGACTTCACAGTTTCTGGAAAGTTCCAGCTTCCGGATCTTTGTATACACACAATGCTCTTTGCCTTGAGGCCCCCTACCCCCACACCTCACTGACTCCCTCAGCCACCTGCATTCTCGAGGGGCAGGTTTTGTGGAGCTCAAAGGTGGCACGTCTCGGGGGATGTCAGAATGAGATGCCATTTCCGTGAAACGGATGACTGGCATTTGCCCTGCAACTGGGTTCAATTTGGAGCAAACATTAGCCAGAAAATGTGAGTTTATTTGTCTCTCCCCACTATCCTCCCTTGCCCCAGCGTCTTTCCGGTGCTCTGCACAGAGATAGCTTGGCACACAGTTGGGGCCTTCTGTGCGTAAATGTGTGTTGCCTAAAAGAACGAACGAGTGGCTGTGTGATGATCTGTGGTACAAATGGACTGTGATTGGGTAACGCTTGCACCTGCCCCGGGAGCTTTCCACGCATCTTCAGTTTTCTCTGATGTTAAATAACACTGCGGTGAACATCCTCATGATTTCGTTACCTGCTGTGTTCCTTCCTAGGCCCGCCTGACAGCCAGTCCCCCCCGCTCACGGTGGACCTGTCTCCTCTCTCCTTTGCAGATCCTTCCGTCCCCTGGATCCAATCTCGGTTTCGAATTCCTCGTCCCAGATTATTCTGAAGTGGAAGCCTCCCTCTGACCCCAATGGCAATATCACACACTACCTGGTTTTCTGGGAGAGGCAGGCCGAAGACAGTGAGCTCTATGAGTTGGATTATTGCCTCAAAGGTGAGTGCCGGCAGGTGTGGGGAGCAGATGAGCCACTTTGTCCTGCTCCCAGGGAAGCATCTCTCCACATCCTGTTTCCCAGTGGAAGCAGGGGTGGGCTGGGAGGTGCCGGGGCATCTGCACACACACTCCATTGGCTCTTGTGCAAAAACACACAGACACATTTCTAAACATCCCCAGGGGGGCGCCTGGGTGGCTCCTTCGGTTAAGTGTCTGCCTTTTGGCTCAAGTCATGGTCTCAGGGTCCTGAGATCAAGCCCTGTGTTGGGCTCCTTGCTCAGCAGGGAGTCTGCTTCTTCCTCTCCCTCTGCTCTCTGCTCCTTCCCCCTGTCCTGCTCTCTCTTTCCCATGCTCTGTCTCAAATAAATAAAATCTTAAAAAAAAAAATCCTCACCTAATGACACTATGAAGACTCATGTCAAAACCAGATAGTTCCCATGTCTTGACACCATTTCCTTCTGAAATGTTCTCCTCCTCCTCCTTCCCTGCTTTGGGGATGCGGCTCTGTAAATCCCCTGGATTTTAGGGCTAAGCTAGGAGTTGAGAGGCTATTGACGAAGCCAGGGAAGAGTTTCAGGCCCTACATTTTTTTTTTTACATTTCTTTTTTTTAAATTTTTTTAAAAGATTTATTTATTTATGATAGACATAGAGAGAGAGAGAGAGAGAGAGGCAGAGACACAGGAGGAGGGAGAAGCAGGCTCCATGCCGAGAGCCCGACGCGGGACTCGATTCGGGGACTCCAGGATCCTGGAGCCAAAGGCAGGCGCTAAACCGCTGAGCCACCCAGGGATCCCCTACGTTTCTTTTTTTAAAAAAATTATTTATTTTTATTTTATTTAAATCCAATTAGCCGCTACATTTAGACACTAAAGTTTTAAGGATTGAGGTAGCGAGGAGTGATCATGTGTTTTCCTCTACGCTCTCCGTGAAGAATTCATACTAGTGATGATTTACCACCCACACGGTCTTTAATCTTGTTTACTTAATAGGCTTCATCCCTTTGCAGGAAAACAGAAAATTATTTGAGCCTCAACCTGGTTTGTATACATTAGTTTAAAAATTTAAAACTGAATTAAAAAACCATCCTGTCCAACCGGAGAAACAGATGTCATTTTTTCCCCCTTTGGGTTTTTGTTGTTTGTTGTTTGTTTTTTACGTTTGTCTGTATTTATTTTTCTGTGGCTGGTTTTGAGTTCATCATTTCCTCAGCTCTTGACCTTGGAGGCAAAGGCTCAGTGTCTGCTGGCGAGGCCTGGATGAGGCCCGAGCCTGCGGGCTACTCTTGGCTGGACCTCTGACCTGCTGTAGGGCTTTGGGCAAGTCACCGAGCTGGTCACTGGCTGCCTCCTTTTCGGGAGAAGGGGCAGGAGGCCAGATGATCTCTGGGAGCCGTCCCAACTCTAAGATCATGTGCTATATGTATGCCTGTGACCTCATCTCCCGCCTGAGCTGAGGCTTGCAAACGTGATTTATCTCCTCAGATGCTTTATATAACTCAAGAGCGAGCACAGGCCTCGGCTTAGCTGTGAGCTGTTGGCCCTGCATTCGAGTAACCGAAACCACCAGCTTGAACCACCACCAGGAGCAGCCCGCAGTGCTTTCGTTTTTTTGTTTTGTTTTTTTGTTTTTAAAGAATAACAGCTTTTATTCTGGAAGTCTGAATCTATCATTACAATGTGCCTATTTAAACGTAATTTGTAATGACCACAAAGTTTATGTAGTTAAAAATAAACTAAGGACAGATATTGTAGGATTCCACCCACAGGAGGTCCCCAGGGGAGTCCTGTCCAAAGAAGCAGGAGGCAGATGGTGGGGGGCCGGGGGTGGGGTGGGAGTGGGGAGTCAGTGTTTCAGGGGGACAGGGTCTCCGTGTGGGGGAATGGAAAGTTCTGGAGATGGATGGTGGGAGTGGGTGTAGACGGTGTGACTGTGCTTCATGCCGCTGAGCTGTGCATTTAGACATGATGGAGATGGTGAATTTTATGTCATGTGCATTTTACCACAATTTTGAAAAAAAATGCACAAAATAAATAAGCTTTCTAACTAGGACTTGTGATGGTTTCCTATTCGTATCACCAGTGGGGTTTTTCTCTCCCAGCTTTATTGGTGTGTGGTTGAATGATAAGATATTGAAAGGTAAAATTGTAAGATACTGAACGTGCCCATCGGGATGATTTTGGTTTGCTTGTATGCTCTAAAGGCGTTTCTCCCAGGTAGTTAGTTAATTCTCCATCATCTCATATTTTTGACTTTGTGTGTGTGTGTGTGTGTGTGTGTGTGTGAGAGAGAGAGAGAGAGAGAGAACGTTTAAGTTCTACGCCCCTAGCATATTTCAGTTCTATAGCTCGGCATTATCAACTGCATTTTTAAAAATTGTGGTAAAATGTATATAACATAAAATTGACTATCTTAGCCATTTTTTAAAAAAAGATTTATTTACTTATTCACGAGAGACACACAGAGAGAGGCAGAGACACAGGCAGAGGGAGAAGCAGGCTCCCTGTGGGGAGCCCAATGCGAGACTCGATCCCAGGACCCCGGGGATCACGCCCTGAGCCAAAGGCAGATGCTCAACCACTGAGCCACCCAGGGGTCCCTTAACCATTTTTAAGTGTGTGGCTCAGTGACAAGAAGCACCTTCGCATTGCTGTGCATCTGCCCCCACCACCTGTCTCCAGAACTTTCTCATCTCCCCCGACCTGAACCTCTGTCCCTATGAAACTTTGGCCTTCACGCCCACCAGTTCCCACCATCTCCTCCATCTCTGTGGACAGGACTGTCCGAGGCAACTCATTACCTATACTTTTACTACATAGTCACAGAAAAAAACCCACAGGACTCTAAGTGCCCTGCGGTGGGGGCCAGAAGGAATAACAGGATCGAGGAGCTGTGTCTGGCCTGATCCAAAAGTCCTTTCCTCTCCAGAAAATTCTCAGGATCCTCCCTCACTAAGGAAACCCAACCTTTTTCTCCCACCCCTAATGCCATTACCGGTCCGTAATGGTTAATCCAGCCAGGTTAGCCTGTGTCTATTAATAAATATCAGAAATATTTTTTAAGAGTCCCTGGTAGGCTTTGACAGCTGTATAAATACTTGGCTTCCGAGTGGATACTCAGCCAGTCACGGGAAGGCCCTTTGAGCCCATTGTCTCCCGGACCATGGTAGGGGAGAGGAAAGAAGTGCTCAGCAGCCCCCAGGAGGCTGTGGGCACGAGGGCTGGTGGCAGGAGAGGTGCACCCCAGGGCCCTTGGTGGCTTTTGCCCACAGAGAGGAGCATCCATCCTCATGGTCATCCCAGAAGTGTGGCTGTGTTCCACCCGTACTCAAAAAAGCAACTTTGTGGGTTTTTTAAATTTTATTTTATTTTTTTATTTATTTACTCCTGAGAGACACAGGGAGAGAGAGAGAGGCAGAGACACAGGCAGAGGGAGCAGCAGGCTCCGTGCAGGGAGCCTGACGTGGGCCTTGATCCCGGGTCTCCAGGATCAGGCCCTGGGCTGAAGGCAGCGCTAAACCGCTGAGCCACCGGGCTGCTCGCAACTTTGTGTTTTTAGGACACAGCCCTCTAGAAGTTGGGGTTCTCTCTCTCTCTTTCTCTGTTTTTTTTTTCTTTTCTTTTTTCAATTCCCTTTTCTGTGCTTCTTTGAAAACTATCTTCCCTCCTCGTCTCCCCTCATGTCATTAGTCCAGAGTTTCTTGATCTCAGCACTGTTGACATTTGGGGCCAGGTCTCTCTCTGGGGCGGGGCAGGCTGTCCTGTGCCCTGTCGGATGGTGAGCAGCACCCCTGGCCTCACCCCTCAGCTGCCAGAGTCTCCTCCCTCCCTACTATTCATCACACCCAGAATGTCTCCAGACCTTGCCCAGTGTCCTGGGCTGGGGGACAGTGCAGAGTCACCCCTCCCCTGACCCTGGGGAAGAACCACTGCTCTACTCTGACTTTGGGATTCCCGAATGAACTGTAGATTCATTGGTTTGTAACCACTGGGTCTGTCGGTCGGATCCTTCATGTGGCCTCCCGTCACTTTATGTGGTTGATTGGCTGGTTGATTCATTCATGCAACTGTCACTCACCCTCCAGTCCCCCCCCCCCATCTTTTTCTAATCCCACCTCCCACCATGCTGTCCTTCGAGCTGCTTTGGGTTCTTGGTGTCTCTCCGCAGGCCAAGGAAATTCCTACCATGGGGCCTTGGCTCTTGCTTTTTGTTGCATCTGAACTGCTTTACACCAAGATACGTGGGTAGTTCATTCCTTTACTTAATTTGGGACTGCTCAGTGGTCACTTTCTCCGAGACCACCCCGGGAAAAGCATCACGCCCGACATCCTCTGTGCTTTTACCCTGCTGGCTGACCCATGGCATAGGCATTTGTGTTTATTGTGTGGCAGCAACCGGCAGCTCCCCCCTCCCGCCCACTGCCCCTCTCATCCCTTGGGTTGTAAGCTCCATGGGGCAGGGACATACCTGGGCACCTTAGGTCTCCCAGCCCAACGTGCTCACGGCGTCTTACAGTTTCTGGAACACGCTGAGCTGCACAGGTGTCCCACATGCCCGGCCCCTCTGAGAAGGCCCCCTCTGCTGTGTGTGTGTGTTGCGGGGTCAGGAGGAAGAGCCGAGGCCACCTGTCCTGCCTCTCTCTAGGGTTGAAGCTGCCCTCCCGGACCTGGTCTCCGCCGTTCGAGGCCGAGGGCTCCCAGAAGCACAACCAGAGTGAATACGAGGAGTCTGCCGGCGAATGCTGCTCCTGCCCCAAAACGGACTCTCAGATCCTCAAGGAGCTAGAGGAGTCCTCTTTTAGGAAGACGTTTGAGGATTACCTGCACAACGTGGTGTTCGTCCCCAGGTCAGGACGGTTCCTAGGCTCGGTGTTGGGGGTCATTACCTGGGGAAGAGGATGAAGAGGGGACCCAGAGGGTGGGCAGGTGGGTAAAGGAGGAGATTCAGTAGCAACCTTGCCAGGAAGAGTACATAAACACCCTAAATGGGGAAAGGTTAAAAAAAAAAAAAACAAAAACACCTAATATTTGTTTCCCTACGTGGCCCAACCTCTGTGTCCCAGCCTCAGGCCTCCATCTGCGTTCTTAGACGAGCTCCATTAGATTTTGAGGCACAACCTGAGGGATGCCCACCTGGCCCCATGCTTGATTTACCTTCAAGTCTCAGGCTCGGTGCACTCCGAGACTTGTCCGTCTCCACAGCCTTCTCAACCGTTCTGGAAATTTCTATGGCATTTTCAATATCCCAAGGCTTCTCCTGTTTAAATATGTTGAGTTTCCTTTAGTGAATGAAGGGATTTATTTATGTACATTTGATCTGAGAGGGTTTGTAGTGACCCCATGCTACTCACCCGTCTTTGCCTTTCCCAGGGCAGAGATACTTAGGTAAATGGCACATTTCTCTTGATGCCTCAGTTTACTTATCTGCCAAGTGCAGACAATAATAGCTCCTATTTTTTAGGAACGTGAGAGCACGTGAGTCGCTCAGGCTTCACAGTAAAGCCTGAGCCCTGCCAACCTTTAGAGCCAGTTCCTCCTCTGCTGTGGGGCTGTGGTCCTCTGCGCTGCAGGATGTTGAGCAGCATCCCTGCCTCGACCCACCTGATGTCAACAGCTCTGTATGCATCATATCAGCTCATGAATCTTTATAGTAACCTACCGACCTCCTTGTCACCTCCCTTCCATGGGTCCAAAGCCAGTGTTTCTGAGCTGGCGAGTGATCCAGTTACGGTAGCTGGTGAGCCACCTCCTATCCCGCTCCCCTTACAGCCCTCAGCAGGCGGGCCACCCAGGAATATCTGATGCAATGGGAGGTTTCCAAAGTGGATCGAAACCCCACATGGTTGACGTTGGGATAAAAAAAAAAAGATGCTAAGATGGGTCCCTTCAAATGCCTTCCACCCCTTCTCATACAAATAGATGTTTTTCCAGAGCCATCGGTGTGTAAAATTCTAAAAAACCCTCTTTTCCTTGTGTTTCTCCCCCACCCCATGACCCTGAGTCCAAGAGTACTAAGTGTCAAGCCCAGGCATGGAGGCAGTTACTGTTTTACCCATTAAAAACAAAATACGGCCGGTCTCAAGGAAATGGCTGAGTCAGTTGTGATGTTTAAATGTAGTCAGGTTTGACATCCGGGGGGAACCCCAGCTGGCCAGGTCTCCGGCAGGGGGTGCGGGGAGGGGGGATTTTCTCTGATATTCTTCTTGCTGTGTTCTCTGCACCTGCCGGAGCCGATGTGAATTGAGTGTTGGGAAAAGTGGTCCACAGTCAAGGGCAGGGCACCCTTGGGCTGCTCGGAGGGAATGTGGCTTCCAGGGTGTCAGAAGGAAGTCGTCGGTCTGCAAGAGTTCTGTGTGTCCTCAAAGTGGTTGGTTTTGTTTTCACAGAAAATCCTCTTCGAGCCCTGGTGCTGAGGACACTAGGTATGGCTCACCTGCAGGACGTCTGCGTGGCCGCTGGTGGCTGCTCAGTGCAGAGCCAGGCCAGGCAGGGCAGGAAGCACGCTGTGTGCCTTCGACACTCCGGGGGCTTCTGTGGCTTAATGCATGTGATGGGCTGCTCTGCCGACACCAGAGGCTTCGTGAATCCAAACGTTAACTGCCTTCGCCCTGAAATGGGATCTGGGCATGAATGCTGGGAACAAATCTTCACTAACACATTCTTACTAAAACATAGAATCAAGGGGCACCTGGCTGGCTCAGTCAGTAGAGCTTGTGACTCTTGGTCTCTGGGTCATGAGTTCGAACCCCACGTTGGGGGTGGAGTTTACTTAAAAAAACAAACCGTAGAATAGAAAAGCTTTCTGGGCACCTCTTAGATGCCCCACATGTCCCTCCATGCATTCATTCGCTGAACATTTATCAACACCTACGGTGTGGGCAGAGCTATGCCTGACACCCAGAGTCGAAGCCACATGCAGCAGGTAGTGGGAGAGCCTGATCTGCTAGCAGAACGTTTTTTATTTGGGGTGACAAATGTGGGACTGCAGGTGTGAGCACAGGTGTGCATGTCACTGAAGTCCACGGAGGACGGGCAGGCTTGCCTTTGACTTGTGTCTTGAAGAGCAAAGGGGGATGGGTTGTCCTGGAGGGGAGGACAGGCAGAGAGAAGCTGGGGTGAGGGAGGCCCTGGGGTGAATCACGGGCTTTTGGGAGGAACCAGCCCGGAACCAGCCAGGAGACTGGAATGGCCAGTCCGGGCCATGTGGAGGGATTTTATGCTCTCAGCAGTGAAGGTTTGCTTTATTTGTTTTCAGGCATGTTTGTGTGGCCCCGATCTGACATCTAGTGGCCATTTGGAATATAATCTGGAGAAAAGAAAGGCCTAGAAATTTAAGGCTTTGGTCCAGATCAGGGTTTCTCCATCTCAGAGGGACCTACATTTAGGGTCAGAGTATTCTTAGTAGCGGGGCCTGCCCTGGGTGTGGTAGGATGTTGAGCAGCATCTCTGGTCTCTGGTCTCTGGTCTCACAATGCCAGTAGTTCATGCGTTCCCCAAGTAGCGACAGCCAAAAATGTTTCCAGACATGCCAGATGTCCTCCAGTGGTGGGGTGAGGGGCAGACCCACCCCTGGTTGAGGACCACTGGTTTGGCATGAGATTGTGGGGTGTGTAAGCAGTGGAGCCTGTGGGAACCCCAAACTACAGATAAGGGGGGATGACTGCAAGTACATTCGGCTTCTTTGATGAGACCTTTTCATGTTTCTAGTGGTCCGGACAGCCATTTCTCAGTGGTTCTTCATGAGGCACTGTGTCATGGTCATTTGGGAACCCCACCTGTGCGTGGATGGAAATGTTCTGAATCTCACTAACATGGACCCATCTTTGTTTTTTTGTCCAGGAACGTCACTGCTCTTTGCATATGAGAGGACCATGCAAAAAATCTTAATGTATACCCCCCACCCCCACCCCCACCAGGATTTATTTTCTGACTACAGTGCAGTAGGAACTAAAAATTGACTTGAAACATTTGAAATGACAAGTGTTTCCTGGTGATTTAAAGTCGATCACTTTTATACCTTTTGGGAGAGGCAGATGTGGGGACTTTCATTAAAGTCCACTTGGAAAATAGTGGGAAGGAGAATATCACATAGCTTAAATTTGTAGAATATTGCCAAAAACTGGGCTCTGATGCAAATTAGTAGCCTTAAATGATTTTGTGACTTAAGAAAAAAAACCTGAAAAGGTAAAAATAGAAATGTATTGCAGGGGAGGGGAAATCAAGATTGCTGAACTTGCAAATATAAGGATGAAACCACAAATAACTAGAAGTAAAGCAGATGATATACTACTGGATCCAAGGAAGATTTTAATGTTGAACTGTCTCTGGACAATTTCGTGTTATCCAATTTGAAGCTTTTGGTGAGAAGTGAAGTCTTAATTTGATCTGATTCAAGACAAAGCAGAAAAAATTAAATATTCTAATTTCTTTGGTAAATGACTAAAAATTATGTCTCAAATAGGCCCTGGACCCAGAGAATTTTATAGATGAGTTATTTCAAACTCTGTAATATAGAAACTTTTCTGAGCATAGGAATCTATGGAAATCTTTCTAGGTTGTTTTGTTTTGTTTTTTGTTTTATTTTAAAATATTTTTATTTATTTGTTTATGAGAGACACAGAGAGAGAGGCAGAGACATAGGCAGAGGGAGAAGCAGGCTCCCCACGGGGAGCCTGATGTGGGACTTGATTCTAGGACCCTGGGATCTCGACCTGAGTCAAAGGCAGATGTTCAACCGTTGAGCCACTGAGGGGTCCCTCCAGCTCATTTTATGAAGCTAACATAACACCCCTTAGTAGAACCTGATGCAGATGCCATTGCAACAGAAACCCCAGGACCAGCTAACATGAGACTTTAGATCCAAACATCCTAAATGAAACCGTGTGCTGATGGTATCATTTAACTCAGAAGTGCAAGGATGGTTTATGACCCAGAGAGAGATACAATAGTTCATCAAGGGACCCAGTAAGGAAAATCACGTAATAATCTCATTTGACAATGTTAATGAAGAATTCCTAATTTACAGAAATGAGCAAAAAAGAGGCCTTTTATAAAAATGGGAGTAGGATACTTCTGCTACAAGGTAAATATTACTTGAGTGAAACCAATAGCCAACCTAACATTGTACTTAAACTGTCCCTGTTATATTTAGAAGGAACCCCAGTGTCGTGGTGTCATCATCGCTAATTAACATTTCCCTGGGTGTCTAGCCAATGCAATAAGACAAGAAACAGAAATTAGAATAGCAAAGAATGGATTGTGAGGAAATAACGTCATTGATATTCGCAGACAGCCTAGCGCAAGGGTAGTAAACACGCTATGGGCTACGGCGTACAGGCTGGCCACCCATTTCTTGTCAATGAAGTTTTATTGGAATGCAGCTGCTCCCATTTGTTTAAATTTTGTGTACAACTGCTTTCTTTTTTTTTTTTAATTTTTTTTTTTTTAATTTATGCTAGGCACACAGTGAGAGAGAGAGGCAGAGACACAGGCAGAGGGAGAAGCAGGCTCCATACACCGGGAGCCCCATGTGGGATTCGATCCCGGGTCTCCAGGATCGCGCCCTGGGCCAAAGGCAGGCGCTAAACCGCTGCGCCACCCAGGGATCCCTACAACTGCTTTCAAGCTACAATAGCTGGAAAGCCATTGAGAGTTGAGACAAAGAGTGCGTGTGGCACGTGTCCCGCAAAATCGAAAATAGTTACTTTCTACCATTGACAGGAAAAGTTAGCCGACTCTTTTTCTAGTACGTTCCTTGAAAACTCAGCTCTGAAGCTCTTAGAAGAGAGTTTGGGAAAGAAGGTACAATAAAATTAAACAAAAAACCAGTCGATATATTAGCAATAGTTAGAAAACAGAGAAAACCCCTTTCGTAATTGCCTTACCACCTTGGTAACCCAGTGGAGAATTAAAAAATTCTAAAGTCTGGCGAGCACTAAGATTGTCCAGATACGTGTGGGAGACTTTTTCGCACCACTTAAAGAAAACCCACTGGCGATCGACAGATGGGTAAATTGTGCAGCATGGTTGATAGTGTTAATATCCTTAGTGAATAAACAGGGCAGGAGTAGGAACAGTGAAGAAAGCGCTAGAACATCCCAGAAACAGAGGAGAGAGACGGGCACTTCCCTAGAGAAACACGAGGAACCGAGGAACCGAGGAAGGAAAGACAAGCTCACAGAGAATGGTTCTAAGAAATGCAAACAAAGCAGCAGTGCCTGTTTTTTGGTCAATCTCTTGTGCTGAAAATCTGCAAACGAACAAATCCCAAAGTATCCTTTAACCCAGTGCACTGATGAGGTTACCCTGAGGTGCAGTTTCAGAGGCTACTGGTAAGACCCCCCCCCCCCCAGTCAGTCTAAAGGCCCTGGAGAGCAATTTTGCCCTATGGACAAATTGGCACAGTCCGGTGATTTCCCTTCTTAAAAGAGTCTAGTTTTAGGATCTCTTAAGATAATCAATGATCACAGCAATATTTATAATATTATTATAAACATTTATTAAATATTAAATATAGCAATATTTATTATAATTATTATAATATTATAATAATTTATAATAGCAAAAAGCCCTGTGGATGCCCTCATGCGGGCATCCATGTACAGAGGTACTTAGGGCTCAGTTCCAGACCCACCGTGGTAAGATGAATATTGTAGGAAAGCAGGTCGCGTGAGTTTTGGTTTCCCAGTGCGTATAAATGTTCCGTGCGACTCGACTGTGCTCTATTAGGTGTGCAACAGCATTATGTCTAACAAGTCAGCATACACACCTTAATTAAAAAAACATTGCTAAAAAACGCAAACCATCATCTGGGATTTCGTTGAGTCGTAATCACAGATCACAGATCACTGCAACAACCACAATAATAATGAGAATGTTTGAAGCAGTGTGAGAATCACCAGAAGGTGACCCCGAGACCCAAAGTGAGGAAAAGCTATTGGAAAAAGAGTGCTGGTAGACTTGCCCGATGTGGGGCCACCACCGACCTTCAATTTGTAAACGTGCAGGATCTGCAAAGCACGATAGGGCAAAGTACAATAAAATGAGGTGTGTGTGTGTGCAGGAAATAAAAGAGGACGATGCTTAGTCATTTATGGCTCATGCATCAATTGAATATTTTCTCGTCGTCCAAGTTTTCTGAGGTGAACATTTGTAGCAGGGAAGGAAAACTTCCACATTGACAAAAGACAAAACATAAATTCCATGCTCAGTACTTAGGGCATTATGGTTTAAGGAAGCTCTTTGATGAATGTTTCCACAAGCGAACAAAGGCGTACAAAACTAGCTTGGTCCTCATTATACCTACTCATAATATTTCTAGAAAAAAAAACCAAGTTGCGCACAGGAAACAGTGTGCGGTGGCATGATGAGTAATTGAAATTTTCTCTATGCTTTTTGTGTATGCGTGTCTATACATTTTTAGGCCATTAGGTTCATTTCTTAATTTCTTCTTAATTAATTGGGGGGAAATGTGTGTTGACTGCATTGGGTTTTTTGTTTGTTTTTTTGGAGTTACCCTTACCGACCTGAGTGATAAGATTTTTCTCTTTTTTTCACCCAACAATTGAAATTTAGTCACTACTATGATCAAGATGTCCTATAGGGTCACAAGAATTAGAAGATGCGTTTTTCCTGTTTAGACCACTGATGCTGGCCAGTAGTTGGGGCTGCTGGGCTCCTGCCATTTGACAGGGTTCATGAAAAGTTAGACTCTTCCATGCTTTGGGCATCTTATCTTTAACACTGACCCTGGGTGGCTGATTAATCTGCAAAATGACGACCTGAAATCAAGCATGTTGAGGGGGAATATTGGTGTGTGTCCTCTGCAGATGGTCCTGGAGTCCCCCCTGCCCCCTGCCCCGCCTGGAGGGCATCCTGGAAGCTGCTCCGCGTTGTAATTCCTGGCAACCTGCATTTAATCTGTGTGCCTCCCTGCATCCCCACTGCACCAGCCTGTGATTTTGAGCCTTCTGATTTCCCCCACAGCGTTTTGTCTTCAGGGTGGTGATTGCATGACCGTGTGTGTCCTGTTGTCGTGACAGGCCGTCGAGGAAACGCAGGGCGCTCAGTGATGCTGGCAACGTGACAGCAGCTATACCCACAGTTCCCGGTTTCCCCAACACCTCGACCAGCGCGCCCACGAGCCCGGAGGAGCACAAGCCCTTCGAGAAAGTGGTGAACAAAGAATCCCTGGTCATCTCCGGTCTGCGCCACTTCACTGGCTACCGCATCGAGCTGCAGGCTTGCAACCAAGACTCCCCCGAGGAGAGGTGCAGCGTGGCGGCCTATGTCAGCGCCAGGACCATGCCTGAAGGTGGGTTGTCACATCGTGGCCCCAGGAGCCCCAGGCTGACCGAGGGGAAGCCCTCCACCCGTTAGGCAGCGGAGATGTGTACTTTAACTTATTTGTCTTTGTCATTTTTTATTTTTATTCGTACCCAGCTTTATTGAGATACCATTAACATATAACATTGCGTAAGGTGTACGGCGTGTGGATTTGATACACGTGCGTATTCAGTGTGATTACCACTGTAGCGTTGGCTCCCACCTCCATCCCAGTACACGATTACATTCCTTTCTCTGTAGTGAGAACACTTAAGATCTACTCTCCTAGCAACTTCCAAGAGTGTTGTAAAGTATTGTTAACTGTAGTCACCAAGCTGTATGTTGTTAGATCCCTACAACTGATTCATCGTCTAAGCTGGAAGTTTGGACCCTTCGGTTAATATCTTTGCATTACCCCTCAGGTCCCCCCAGCCCCTGGTAACCACCATTCTACTCTGTTATCTGTGAGTTCTGCTTTTTTTAGATTCCACATATGAGTGAGATCACACAGTATTTGTCTTTCTCTGTTTGGCTGATTTCACTGAGCAGAATGCCCTGAGGGTCTGTCCATATTGCCTGTATGATCATTTGATTGCACGAGTCGTGCATAGCCATTATATAAATGTTAACAAATCTACACACGCAGATATACACATAAGAAAAAATAAAGCGAAATTAAGAAATACATAGATGTATGGCATTAATCGGGGTTCTCCTGAGCAATAGAACCGATGGGATATGAGATAGACAGATGGAGAGATAGGGACATAGGCAGTCCCGTAGAGAAGTGAGTTTTACACGTAGGAAATTTTCCACGAGGAAAGTGGAACACAGGACAGTTAAGCAAGCAGCTTGAGGGTGGTTGCCCAGCTGGTAGGTGGTGGAGGTGGGATCGGGTCCAGGGATTAGGTGCCTGCCTCTAACCACTGCTCCTCACAGCCAAGGCAGACGACATCGTTGGCCCCGTGACCCACGAAATCTTCGAGAACAATGTCGTTCACTTGATGTGGCAGGAGCCAAAGGAACCCAATGGTCTGATTGTGCTTTATGAAGTGAGTTACCGACGGTATGGCGATGAGGTAAGACTCCTGATGCTTGGGCCTGGGCCTCCAAGCTGTCACTGGGACCTCCTTCCTCTTCTTTTTTTTTTTTTTTTTTTTTAATTTATGATAGACACAGAGAGAGAGAGAGAGAGAGAGAGAGAGAGAGAGAGAGAGAGAGAGAGAGAGAGAGGCAGAGACACAGGCAGAAGGAGAAGCAGGCTCCATGCACCGGGAGCCCAACGTGGGACTCGATCCCGGGTCTCCAGGATCACGCCCTGGGCCAAAGGCAGGCGCTAAACCGCTGCGCCACCCAGGGATCCCTCCTTCCTCTTCTTAACCCTGGCCCAAGCACTTCTCCTATCAGATGTGTTGTCATTAGGACTCAAAGCCTCAGATTTACAACTTTCCAGGGCGATGGCTCAGAAGTGCCAATCTATAAACTTATTTATTTCCTGTTTCCCACATTGCTTCTCACGTTTCAGCCTTGTCCTACAAGATGAATGATGGTGTGTCCCTCCTGACACGGCAGGAGACGCATTTCCCTTTAGACAGAGTTATCTGAGTCTGGGGACAAGTCACTTAAGATCTTGATAAGTAATTTTTTGTTTGCTACCTTTTGTTTGCTACCAGACACCGTGCAGGGTGGTGTGTGAACACAGAGATGTGCAAGATATGTAACCTGAGAACAAAAAAGTGTCCAGGCTATCCTGAGGGTTCTACTGGGTGTCTTGCACACAGGAGGCAGGGAACACACAGTAGTATCTCATTTATCGTGTTTTATCCCGTCCAAGGCATGATAAGCAGCCCCATGATTTTTGTGGACTGCTAAAAAAGAAAAAAAAAAGACGCTGCCAATTCTAATTGTAAGTCTGTGTTGCTTATAAGATGCATTGCAACTTCAGAAATGCCAAAATGTGAAAATAATATGCCTCTCAGGACCGATGAAATGCGATAAATCCTCAGAATAGCCCAGTGACCTTGGTACTGAGGCAGCCAGAATTTAAATAGTTTTGTCCAGGGTCCATGAGAATAAAGTCAGGATTCAAACCCAAGACTATCTGATGTTCTAATCCAAGGGTTGGCAACTGTTTTTCTGTAAAGGGCCAGCGAGTGAACATGTTTGGCTCTGCAGCCAGATGGTCTCTGTTGCAAATACTTAACTCTGCTGTTGTAGCTCGGAAGCCACCATATAGAGGATGTGTAAACTAATGGGTATGGTCGTGTGCCAGTGAAACATTTTTTTTTACAAAAACAGGCAGCAGGCTGGAGTTGGCCAGTTGGCGCTCTAAGCCACGCCTGTAACTACCGTGGGGGTAGATTTCCGTCCCTAGGAGGGCTTTGGGCTGCTCAGAGTCACTGGTGGGGGCTTGAATCTAAAGGGACAACTCTCCCCTTTACCGTGTGACTTTGAGCAAATGAGTCACCTCACCTCCTTGGGTTTGACTGAGCCCTTCCCCCGTCCCAGACATTGCACTGAGTCCTTTGCAACCATCCATGTGAACCTCACAACGACCCAACCAGGTGGGATCTGTTAGTGCCTCCTTTTTTGGGCAGGAGCATGGACATTGGAGGAGCTGAGTGGACTTGCTCGGACTCAGGACTTAAACTGGACTGTTGGGCTCTGGAGTCTGCTATCCACACCTGAGGGCAGTCACTTAGGTCAGAGGTCATTTTCTATATATGGCCAGAAAGTTAAAGTTTTTAGTTTTTAGTTTTTTTTTTTAAGATTTTTGAAATTTTTCATGAGAGACACAGAGAGGGAGAGGCAGAGACACAGGCAGAGGGAGAAGCAGGCCCCATGCAGGAAGCTCGATGTGGGACTCCATCCTGTGACCCAAGAATCATGCCCTGAGCCAAAGGCAGACGCTCAACTACTGAGCCACCCAGGGGTCCCTGAAGTTTTTAGTTTTGGGAGCCATAGAGTCAGGCTTGGGCATGAGGTTTTTTTTTTTTTGTTTTGTTTTTTATAATAACAGCTTTACTGTGATACATTTGCATACCATAAAATACACCCATTTAAAATATACAATTTGGGGTGCCTGGCTGGCTCAGTCTGTAGAGCGTGCGACTCTTGATGTCAGAGTTGTGAGTTCAAGCCCCACATTGGGTGTAGAGATTGCTTACGAATAAAATCTTTACAATAAAACAAAATAAAATAAAATACACAACTCAATGGTATTTTTTAAAAAGACTTTTGCAATTTTTATTGTAAAGTTTTATTGAATTGTATACAATTCAATGGCGTCTTTTTAAAGATCTTTACAATCTTTATTGTAAAATTTTATTGAATTGTATACAATTCAGTGGTTTTTTTAAAAAAGATATTTACAATTTTTGTTGTAAAATTTTATTGTGTATAATTCAATGGCGTCTTTTTAGAGATCTCTTCCTTCTTTTTTTTTTTTTTTGAGGTTCTATTTATTTATTCATGAGAGACACAGAGAGAGGCAGAGACACAGGTAGAGGGAGAAGCAGGCTCCATGCAGGGAGCCTGATGTTGGGACTCCATCCCGGGTCTCCAGGATCACACTCTGGGCTGAAGGCGGAGCTAAACCCCTGAGCCACCCGGGCTGCCCTTTAGAGAACTTTATAATTTTTTATTGTAAAGTTTTATTGAGTTATATATAATTCAGCATTTTTAAAAAAGATTTTTACGATTTTATTGTAAAATTTTATTGAATTCTCTATGGATTTGCTTGTTCTGGACACTTCCTATGAATGAATCATACGATATATGGCCTTCTGTTACCGGCTTCTATAATCATCATCATGTTTTTGAGGCCCGTCCATGCAGTGGTGTGTGTCCAGGCTTCATTCCTTTTCATGACTGAGAAATATTCCATCATATGGGTGGACCACATTTTGTTATTCACTCATCCATAGATGGGCATTTGGGTCATTTTCACCTTCTTGTGAGTAATCCTGCTCAGAGCATTTGTGTGTAAGAGCTCAGAGCATTTCTGTGTGGATGTGTGGTTTCAGTTCTCCTGGGTGCATGTCAAGGGATGGGGTCCCTGGATCCCGTGCTAACTCTTTTAAGGAAATGCCCACTCTTCCCACAGTGGCTGCACCATTTTATAGTTCCTATGATTCCAACACTTGTTCTGGGCTAATTTTTTTGATTAGAGCCATGCTGGTGGGTGCCAGTGGTATCTCATCGAGGTCTTGGTTTGCATTTTCCTGATGGCTCGTTTGGGCCTGAGTTTTGTGCTCTTCCATGTACCCATGGGGCTCTTCTGCTGCAGGCAGAAGTTAGGGTCAGCCCTAGAACCAGGGTGGGGTTGAGGATGGGAGGCAGGAGCTTTGCAAGGGGAAGGGTCAGCTCCCAAAAGAAGTTTGGGATGTTCTGGGCAGCAAGGAGGAGCATGTGGATTCTTTGCAGTGGGCAGCATGTTTCCACTGCAGACCCTCCTTGATTTTATTTGTGCTGCTGTGACCAACTCTTTCCCGTTTGCCTGGAATTTGCCAGTAGTGAGCACTGAAGTCCTACATCGTAGGAACCCCTTGGTCCAGGGCAAACTGGGACAGTTGGTTACCCTATTGGCTTAACCCTAAATTCTCCCAGCTGCCTTTGACTGGACTGCCTCCCCTGTTCCTGGAGCCCAAGGGTCACCAGTAGGAATCCCCATAAGAGTGTCTGCCCCACATGGCCGAGCACCAATCCCGGACGGACTGGCCCTATTTTTTTAAATACTTATTTTATTTTATTCATTTTTGTTTGTTCACATTTTTTTAATTTAAATTTAATTTGCCGTGCAGCCCTGGTGGCACAGCAGTTTAGCACCACCTGCAGCCCGGTGTGTGATCCTGGAGACCCGGGATCGACGGGTCCTGTGTCAGGCTCCCTGCATGGAGCCTGCTTCTCCCTCTGCCTGTGTCTCTGCCTCTCTCTCTCTCTGTATGAATAAATAAATAAAATCTTTAAAAAAATTTTAATTTGCCAACATATAGTTTAATACCCAGTGCTCATTCCACCAAATGTCCTCCTCGGTGCCCATCACCCACTTACCCCATTCCTCCACCCACCTCCCCTTATGCAACCCTTTGTTTGTTTCCCAGAGTTGGGAGTCTCTCATGGTTTGTCTCCCTCTCTAATTTTTACCACTCAGTTCCCCTCCTTTCCCTTATAATCCCTTTCACTATTTCTTATATTCAGTGTATGAGTGAAACCATATGATGATTGTCCTTCTCTAACGGACTTATTTCACTCAACATAATATATATATATATATATATATATATATATATATATATATATATATATATAAAAGAGAGGCCTACATATATATACACACACACACACCACATCTTCTTTATCCATCATCTGTTGAAGGACATAGTGGCTCCTTCCACAGTTTGGCTATTGTGGACATTGCTGCTATGAACATTGGGGTGTAGGTGTCCCAGTGTTTCATTACATCAGTATCTTTCAGGATAAATCCCCAGTAATGCAATTACTGGGTTGTGACGTAGCTCTATTTTTAACTTCTTGAGGAACCTCCATGCAGTTTTCCAGAGTGGCTGCACCAGTTCACATTCCCACCAACAGGGCAAGAGGGTTCCCCTTTCTCCACATCCTCTCCAACATTTGTTATTTCCTGTCTTGTTAATTTTCCCCATTCTCACTGGTGTGAGGGGGTATCTCATTGTGGTTTTGATTTGTATTTCCCTGATGGCAAGTGATGTGGAGCATTTTCTCATGTGCTTATTGGCCATGTCTATGTCTTCTTTGGAGAAATGTCTGTTCATGTTTTCTGCTCATTTCATGATTGGATCGTTTATTTCTTGGGTGTTGAGTTTGTTAAGTTCTTTACAGATCTTGGATACTAGCCCTTTGTCTGATAGGTCATTTGCAAATATCTTCTCCCATTCTGTAGGTTGTCTTTTAGTTTTGTGGACTGTTTCTTTTGCTGTGCAGAAGCTTTTTATCCTGATGAAGTCCCAATGGTTCATTTTTGCTTTTGTTTCCCTTCAGACTGGCCCTGTTTGCCCATTAGGGGAACAGAGAGATGGGGGGAAAATAGGAGACAGTGAAAGATTACAGTCACCTTTTAAAAAACCTTGTCAGAATAACACCCAGTGCTCACCCATTCACGCCAACCCCCCCCCCGCCCTCCTCCCCTTCCACCACCCCTAGTTCGTTTCCCAGAGTTAGGAGTCTTCCATGTTCTGTCTCCCTTTCTGATATATCATACCCATTTCTTCTCCCTTCCCTTCTATTCCCTTTCACTATTATTTATATTTCTTCTGTATGTTGGCAAATTGAACACCAATAAAAAATAAATTTATTATTAAAAAAACATTCTTGAAAACAAAAACAAAAACAAAACAAAACAAAACCTTGTCATAGACAAGATGGCGATTATCTCCAACATTTTCCTTTATTACCTGGCATTGCTTTGATAAAGTAAGAAAATAATGTAAAAATAGTTTTTTTAAAGATTTTATTTGTTAGAAAGCAAGAGCGTACAAGCAGGGGGAGCAGGAGGGGGAGAGAGAGAAGCAGGCTCCCCACTGAATAGAGAGCCGGACTTGGGGTTTAATCCCAGGACTCCAAGGTCATGACCTGAGCCGAAGGCAGACACTTAACTCACTGAGCCACCCAGGCACCCCAATTTTTTTAAGCATACCATTAATACTGTTGGGGTATGAATTTGCCAGTTCTACAAAATTCTCTCCAGCATTTGGTGGGAGGTGTTTTTTTTTTTTTTTTTTTTTTTTTTTTGGTATTTGTAGGTTAATAACTGAAATTCCCTCTAGCTACATCACCTTCGAATCTCTCTGTCCTTGAGCATCTTGCTGGAGTCATTTGCCCTCTTACTTCATCCCCTTTCTTCCCAGGAGACCCTGGCCCCAGGGACCACCCCCTCCCTGGAAGGAGCATCGATGTTGAACTTTGGTGTACTCCTGTCCTTGGTTTCAGTATCTTTCACAGTTTTGAGATTCTTTCTTGATGGCACAAACTTTCATATATTTGGCTTCTTTGCTCTTTGTCAGGTTTTGCTTCTCTCTCTCTCTCTCTCTCTTTTTTTTTTTTCTTCTCGTTTTTGCTTTTGTTTCTCAGTGCCTATGGAAAGACAGCCGCCTTGGGTTCTTGTTCCTTCCATCATGCTCCCTTCCTGGTCCTCTCACCCCTTGAGGTTTGTGGGACCTGTTGCCAGCCTTGGAGGATGCATTTCCACTTTGTTCCTGATAGCAGCTACCTTTGGTTGCTATATTTGCTTATTTGTCCCTTTCTGCTTGGTGACTCATTCTACTTGGAAGAACCTTTGGATCAGAGCCCCCACCCCTGCTGCCAGCCCAATCCAGCCTGATCTGTTTTCTGGCTGCTATTGTCACATGATAAGCCCAGGAACTTGGAGCTGTTTTGGAAAGTTCTTAAAATTTGGCCTGACTCGTGCAGGTTTCATGGTCTCATTTCCCAGTGATCTTGCCTCTCCTGAGAAAGCTCTGGGATGATCTCTGTTTACACGGTTATCACTGGGCTGTGTATGCTCTACTTATCTTCTCTCTGTTTTCAGAGATTGAGGTAGATCCCATCTCTTTTTTTCAGAATGGTCAAATCAGTCAAATCAAATCTAGAGGTGGGAAGGAGCTTTAAAACGTGTCCTTGGGACGCCTGGGTGGCTCAGCCGTTAAGCATCTGCCTTTAGTTCAGGGTGTGATCCTGGAGTCCCGTGATTGAGTCCCACATGGGTTCCCTGCATGGAGCCTGCTTCTCCCTCTGCCTGTGTCTCTGCCTCTCTCTCTCTCTCTCTCTCTCTCTCTCTCTCTGTCTCTCATGAATAAATAAATAAAATTTTAAAAATCTTAAATAAAATGTGTCCTTAAGACATAAAGTACATTCATGTGTTTGGATCTGAGGCTAGCAGGTGGGTGGCAAAGCCTAAAATTCGGTTTAGGTCATGTAGGTCTCTTCTTCCCCGACCTTCTTGGACTTTCTAGAGGCCTGGTGACTGTGTCCCCCAGTGGTTTCAGAAAGCTCAGGAGCCAGATGGTTCTGTATTCAAGGGTTGGCCCTGCCATGTACCAGCTATAAGATCTCCAACCAACCATGTCATCTCTTCAACCAGGGGTGTCGGCAAACTTTTTATGCCTGTTTTTGTCCAGCTCGAGATCTAAGAATCGCTTTCATATCTTCAAATGGCTGGAAAAAGAATTCAGAACATCGAGAGGGGAATAGTGTCATGACCCATGTCAACCTGGGCGAAGTTTAGCTTTGGCATCCGCCGTGTTCAGTGGGCTCATGGCCTCATCTGCTTGTGGATGGATGCTACAGGTTGGCGATTGGCCTTGGGCTGCTCTTGTGCTATAACAGCAGAGTTGAGTGGGTCATTTGAGTTGGTCCCAGTGACTGCCTGGCCCCTTGAAGCCAAAAACATGTGCTCTCTGGCCCTTTATGGCAAAAAGTTTGCTGACCTCTGCCCTGGTCGCCTCTTTCTGGTCTCTGACATGAGGCTGAGCCCCAGTGGGGTTGTCGGAAGAGGGAAATGACATGATCCAGATCAAACACCTGGCTTGTGGTTTAGGAAGGGGTGGCTGTTATCAATAACGACAGCTTCCACGTGAGTTTCCTTACCTGGAGAGCCAGAATGCGGAGATTCTGACCGGACCAGCGTGGCTCATGTGCATGGTACTCGGACTGTGGCTTCCTTCCTCGGTGTCATTTTGGAGCAGGGGACATTCCTGCTGAGGATGGACATTCCCGAGTGACAAAGAACAACCCTCACACCTGCCCTCTCTCCTCTTCTTGTCTTCCAGGAGCTGCACCTGTGTGTCTCCCGGAGGCATTTTGCTCTGGAGCGTGGCTGCAGGCTACGCGGGCTGCCTCCGGGGAATTACAGCGTGCGAGTCCGGGCCACCTCCCTGGCGGGCAATGGCTCCTGGACAGAAGCCACCTACTTCTACGTGACAGACTATTGTAAGTCTGCATGCCAGAGCATTTCAGAGGATGGCTGGGGAAGCGTGGAGGCCATGCCCGCCGGCCGTGGCCTGGACCTCTGGGTCTGTTGGCTGGTGCTGTGTGACCTGGGCAATGTGCTTGCCCTTTCTGAGCCTGTACTTCCTCGTCTGACCATGGGGATAATAATAAGATCCCCACTGCTCCCCGCCTTGGAGGTGAAAGGAGATTTCAGTGACATTATGAATGTCAAATAGCTTGTACAGAGCATGTCTGATTAACATTAGCTCCTGTTACTAGTGTCTTAATATTTGTTTTTACATGGGTTGTGCTCTCCAAGGGAGGACATGGGAGCTTGCTGAGCTTGCTAGTCTCAGATGTGTTCTTGATATGTGGGCAGTAAGTGCTGCCATTGGGTGAGCAGGGTACACTGGACAGGGTGGGAGGCTGGGGAAGGCTGAGCTGGTCAAGGAATGCTTCCTGGAGGTGGTGACATCTTGACCCAGACCTAGAAGAATGTACAAGTGGGGACAAAAGAAGATGGCTATCCTGGCATGCGGTAGGAGCCTAGACACTTGAATGAGCAAGCAAACAAATGATTGAGAAGCAGGGAAGATTCTAGACCAGGAGGAGTGGGAGCTTGGGTGGGAGGGGTGAAACAAGGCTCCTGCTTGGCTGGCTGGATTTTCAAACATACTGGGCACAGTGGGGCTTTGGAAAGTGGGAAGTGATTCTTGCTGGCCAGTGTCAGGGCTGCGATGAGCGTCGTGACACCAGCTGGGTGTGCGATGCTATGATTCCGATGGTGCCTAGTAGAGTTAGCATAGACCCTGCCAGGTTAGGAGCAGGGATCCCAGCAAGTCTGCCGTCCCTTCAGATGCCAGATGCAAGTTGGGGGTTCTCCAAGCTCCCTTGAACTTCTAACTGGCAACAAACTTAGGGGTTCCCATGACCCTCTCCCCCAGATTCAGTCATTTGCTAGATCAGCTCCCCGAGCTCAGGAAAGTGTTATATTACAATGACCATGTTATTATTATAAAGGCTATCGGTCAGGACCACCCAAATGAAGAGACACATAGGGGAAGGCCAGGAGAGTCCAGGACACTGGGCTCCTGAGTCTTCTCTCCCTGGAATCAGGATGTGTCCCATTGTCCTCCCGGCATTCTGATGTGGTCACTAGCCAGGAAGCTCCTCTGAGCTTTGGTGTTGAGGGTTTCGTTAGCGTACGCAGTACTGATCGCATCGTTGGCTGTGTGACGGAACTCCATCCCCAGGCCCTCGGTGCTCTGGAGGTCAGGGTGGCTCAGGTCCCAACCTTCCAATCACATGCTTGGTCTGCTGGTGACCAGCACCCATCCTGGGTCATCTCCTCTCATAGCCTAAGCTCAGGTATGTTCCAAGAAGCTTGTCAATAACAAAAACACTCCTATTACCCAGGACATTTCAAGGATTTGGAGTCTCTTGCTTAAGAACCAGGGACGCCATGAATAAAATGGCAAGGAAAATATTAAAATGGGAAAAATTTTTGTAACGTCATTGACAAAGATTTAATCTCCTTGATATAAAATGAATATCTATATTATAGATATATAGATATATAGTATGTGAGTAGAAGATATATATAAATCCCAACACAAGAATATGCAAAGAACATAAATAGCCATTTTTTTTATAAATAGCCAATTTAAAAAGAAATATAAAAGATAGAAAACATAAGAAAATGTCCAACCAAAATCACATCAAAAAAGAAAAAGAAAAAAGAAGCAAATTAAAACAACATGTAATTTTTAACGAATCGGATTGGCAAGTCTTTTGTTTCTGGGTGTTTTTTTTTTTAAGATTTTATTTATTTACTTGAGAAAGAGAGAGAGAGAACACAAGCTGGGGGAGCAGCAGAGGGAGAGGGAGAAACAGACTTCCCACTGGGCAGGAAGCCCGATCTGGAGCTTGATCCCAGGATCCTGGGATCATGACCTAAGTCGAGGCAGATGCTTAGCTGACTGAGGCACCCCTAAAAATTATTAAGACTTTCAAGATGGTGACAGTGGAGTGTTAGGGAGCAGTGCCTTGCCAAGTGTGGGGACTTGGATGATGGCGTGGGCTATGTGTCTGTGAAGCTGGCCCTGTGGGGTATGGGGGGAGAAGACTGACAGTGGGCAGTGGTCTGGGGGTCAGGGCCTCTGGGAGCCAGCCGGTGTTTCAGGACTGCTGGAAAAGAAGAGTTGGGGAGACCAGCAGAGAGGCTCGGGGACAAGAGAAGGGGCAGGTGTGTGTGGCTCCCACCATTATAGGCATAGGTGTGATTTGTGATGTGAACACATTTTGATGCGAACTATATATTTTCTTATTCCATTTCAGTAGATGTCCCATCGAATATTGCAAAAATTATCATCGGCCCCCTCATCTTTGTCTTTCTCTTCAGTGTTGTGATTGGAAGTATTTACCTGTTCCTGAGAAAGAGGTGGGTACAGTGGTGCACTGGTAAATGGTGAAAGACTGGCTCTCCAGAAAAGAAAGTATGCCTAGATACAGAGAGAGCTATAGCTAAGCTCATTATAAATTTTGCTGACCCCCTCCCCCCAAAATGTTGCTGACACGAGGGATACAGATAGCACACAACGTACAGGTAATGATCATAATACAGTACATAATGCTCTTTATCATAAATTCCCTCTAGTTGGTTGATTCTCCCCAAATGTTTTGGTTGATTTTCTTCCCCTCCCCGAACCTTTGTATCTACAGTCCACCTATGGCTGCGGGTGATGAATGAGTGTAGTTCCAACCTGAATGTTGGTTGATGTCTTATTTTCATTAAAGAGTAAGGGAAAAATGAACTAAGATGTGTAGGTTCATCAATAGAGAGGTGACTTCACTCAATCAAGGAGTAACTCTTAAATGCCAGAGGAACATTTTCTCAAAAATTTTTTGCCATTTGCAACATCGTGGCTACGGAGATGACATGCTTTCTTTTTTTAAGATTATTTCTTTGAGAGAGAGAGAGCAAGCAGGAGGAGGGGCAGAGGGAGAGGGAGAGAGAATCCCAAGCAGACTCCATGCTCAGCAGGGAGCCCAACGCAGGGCTCGATCCTAGGATCCTGAGATCATAACCAGCCTCTTGGGATGCCTGGGTGGCTCAGTGGTTGAGCATCTGCCTTTGGCTCAGGTCATGATCCTGAGGTCCTAGGATCGAGTCCCACATTGGACTCCCCGCAGAGAGCCTGCTTCTCCCTCTGCTTGTGTTCCTGCCTTTCTCTGTGTGTCTCTAATGAATAAATAAATAAAATCTTAAAAAAAAAACAAAAAAAAAGAGTCAGCTGCTTAATTGACTGAGCCCCCAGGAGCCCTGAAATGACACACTTTTACGCTTATTCTGCATTGTCTACATTTTTTTGCCATCATTTCCTCAAACCTGGACAGACAACAGAATGATAGATGGAGTCTTGGTTTGTAGCATTCCTGTTTCTTTCTGTGATGTAAATATTCCCACTGTGGCCAGTTTCAAGCTACAGACATGACGCTGATGGTAGTAAGAAGTAACATGATAATTAGGAAGTGGTGAGTTTTGCTTTTAATGTCATTTTATTAAATTATAAGCTGATATCATGTAATTTTGGACGATGGCTGTATTCAAAGCCTGCTCTCAAACTTCCTGAAAATTTAGCAGTTGTTTCTCATGAGCTGGGATGAGAACAGTAAAGGGTGAGTGGCCTTTAGGTGTTATATGGGCAACCGTAAGTTATGATTTGTGGTCCTATGTTGATGCACTGAAGTAGCCATGTGATGGGCTCCCACTCCTAACACCCTGGACCGTATCCAGGATCACATGGATGCTCCTGGTAAGGGTTGCCGTTTGCATTGAGGAGCCTATATTCCCCCTGCGAGTGACCCAGAGTCCTGTGAGAATATCAAGCTGGGATGTCCTCCTTGTTCTCCTCCAGGCAGCCGGATGGGCCACTGGGACCGCTGTATGCTTCTTCAAACCCTGAGTACCTCAGTGCCAGTGATGGTGAGTACCATCCCCTTACCCCTCGGTGGCCAGAATCCTGCCTTTTGGGCTCCTTGGCCATCCCTGTCAAGTGGAGTCAGGGGTTGACACCCGGGGGAGGCTGACACAAGCTCTCTTGTTCACTTGAGCTTGCAGACCTGCCCCTTGCAGACCTGCCCCTTGCAGACTGCCTTACTCTGAGCAGCCAAGCACCTGGTGTATGGCTGGGCTGGTCTAGCTGGTCTGGGACCCGTGAACTGGGCTGAGAATCTAGTGTCTCAGCTGTAGGAGTGTGGATCCTGGGACCTGTGCCAGGGACGGTGCCGAGGGTCAGAGTCAGAGAGCCATGTATGGACTTGCCATCCAGGCTGGTCAATGGGAGTCGGAAGCCAAAATGAGAGACGGGAGATGAGGGGTGGGAAGGACAAGAATGAAGGGTAAGATGGGGCAGACAGGGGACCATGTGGGTGCCGGGGACACACCTGCTGCTAGCAGTAGCCAAACACAGATGTGACGCTGATGCTGGTGGTGGGAGTATAGGACCGACTCAATTTCCCTTGATTGTACCAAAGGGCATTGAGCAGCCCCTAGAGGTAAAGCTTGGTTGTTCCTTCAGAGGAGAAAGCATGTGTCACGTTATGTTTCCAAAGTACTTCATGCAGCCAAAAAAAATCCAAAGGTGACTTTTGAGGCATGGGCACTGTTGCCTGGCAGGATGCTGCCGTGGGATACAGGGGTGATGTTTTTAAGGATACCCAGGATTTGTTTTGATCAGGTCTGATAAGGCATGGGGCACCACACAGGGAAGCCCTGGGGTCGGGCAGGAGGCAGAGGGAGTGTGGGAGAAGGTGGATGAGCATCTTCATTGTGGTCTCCTCAGGAGGGCAAGGCAAGGCAGGGTGAGATCGAGGACTGGCTATTTTGAATGATCTCAGTGGGTTCTGGGGTGTACAGTCTGGGCCTGGTTGACCAGCCCTGTCTTCAAATACAGTCACATTCTGAGCTACCAGGGTTAGGACTTCAACATAAATTTTTTTTGGGGGGAACACACAATTTAGCCCCCGTTTGGAAGAAGGCAGGAACCATTTTAAATGGCTTTTCTTATGAGGCCTTTGTGCATTCGTCTGCAAATTGTTGGCCGTGTAACAAACCACCCCAGAGTTAGTGGCTTAAAACAGCCGGCATCTGTCAGCTCACCATTTGGTGGGTCCGCCACCTGGGATCTGCTCAGCTGGGCTAATCTTTTGGTCTCGTTGGGGCTCGTTCACATGGCTGCAGGCTGCCTGCTGACCCATCAGCTGGTGCTGGGTGGTCTTGCATGGCCTCCGTCACATGTCCAGGGGTTGGCAGGCTGGGTGGCCTCCCATCCCCTTGGCGCTTTACAGAAACGACAGCCTGAGACGGGAAGTAGGGTCGTTCGGTGGCTGGGCTCTGAGATCAGATCGAAAGGATGAGGAGGCAGGCTCAGCTCGGCACTTCCTGGCGGGGACCCTGGATGGGTTGTGGCTCCTTCCCAAGCCTTGGCTGTCCCCTCTGAGAAGGGAACAGCCCCACACCTGTCCGGTCCTTGGCTCTGTGCCCAGTGCCCGGCACAGGTCCTGGACCACAGAAGTCACTTAGTGGACCTTTGCCGGGGGGGTGGTTTGGGGGGCTCAGGTGGGAGGCAGCTGGGGGTCCCTCCAGCGGGTCGGCCGAGGATGCCGCGTAGATAAATGAGGAGCAGTGTTTCCATGTTCTGTGTATGTGCCGGACGAGTGGGAGGTGCCGCGGGAGAAGATCACCCTCCTGCGCGAGCTGGGGCAGGGCTCCTTCGGCATGGTGTACGAGGGCAACGCCAGGGACATCGTCAAGGGCGAGCCCGAGACCCGCGTGGCCGTCAAGACCGTCAACGAGTCTGCCAGCCTGCGAGAGAGGATCGAGTTTCTCAACGAGGCATCAGTCATGAAGGGCTTCACCTGTCACCACGTGGTGAGTCCTGCATTTGCCCTGGAAGCGGCCAGAGGCCTCCTTCCGTGCACGCTCCCCATCCCACCTCTTCCGTCCTCCCTCCTCCGACTGCACAGTGCAGGAGGACACCAGCCTGCCACCGGCCTGGCCCCGACTCTGCCAAGCATCCTAAAGGTGTGGGGGCCGGTGCCTACCTTCTCCCTTCTCTCATTTTTTTTTTAGAGATTTTATTTATTTATTCATGAGAGACACAGAGAGAGAGGCAGAGACACAGGCAGAGGGAGAAGCAGGCTCCCTGCGGGGAGCCCGATGCAGGACTCGAACCCAGGACCCCAGGATCATGCCCTGAGCTGAAGGCAGATGCTCAACCCCTGAGCCACCCAGACGCCCCCTTTGTCCTTCTCTAATCCCATCCTCTCCCACCTTGCCCGGAGCCAGACTCATCCCATTGCTCTCCAGAATCTTTTGTGTCTTCCCTCTTCCTGGCCCCCCTTGTAACCCTTAAACATGAGGTGAACCACCTCATGTGTTTTTTTTTTTCAATTTGCTCAGAATTTTATTAGGTTTAGGTTCACAAGGAACAAGGAGGGGCTTCTGGGGGAGGGGGACAGGAATACCGCAGTGACAAGCGGCCTTGTATAGACACCAAGGCTGGCTGGCGGGTTTGTGGGCACAGCGTGGGGGAGGGGCGAGGGATGGAGGGAAAGAGAGGCTTGGGAGAACAGGGTGGCAGCAGAGCCCCCCAAGGCCACAGCGGCCCTCCCCACCTCATGCGGTTCACCTCATCCCCCCCAAGTCAGCACAGCCTCTTCATGCTCTTCTGCACCCATGGCGGTCCCATTGCTTCTCCATGAGCCTTGTGTCCTTCCTCACCGTGCGTTGTTAAAGGGGGTCCGCCCCATGCTAAGGCCCATTCTCGTCTCTTGGATGCAGCCAATTCCTGCCCTTGTGGAGCTTCCTGTACAGCCATGGAGTCTGACTATAAACCCATGGGTTCCTTATGGAGGATGTTAGGAGTCAATGCTGTGGCAGGATGTAACAGCAGAGCAGAGTCAGGGGACTGGGAATGTGGGGGTAGGGAAGGTGTTTTAAGGATGGAGGGATTGAGGGGCACCTGGGTGGCTCAGGGGTTGAGTGTCTGCCTTTGGCTCAGGTCATGATCCTGAGGTCCTAGGATCGAGTCCCACATCAGGTTCCTTGCAAGGAACCTGCTTTTCCCTCTGCCTATGTCTCTGCCTTTCTCTCCACATCTCTCATGAATAAATAAAATCTTAAAAAAAAAAAAAAGGATGGAGGGATTGAGCTATATGGACATGTCAGGGACCAGAGAGTCAGACAGAGGGAAGAGCAGGTGCAAAGCCTTGGAGGTGGGGACATGCCTTATGTGCTCAGGGACACCAAGGAGCTCTCCGAGGGGCCGCCTCAGAGTGTTGCTGTCTGCTCCTCCCCCCCCAGACCACGAGTCCAGAATCCCTCCTCCCTCCCCCGTCCCAGCAAGGCATTGACCCTGGCATTTGAGCCAGACAGACCAGGGCCCCCCACATGGGGTGCCGTGTGCAACACAGACGTCAGACGGGGGAGACCTTGGTGGGTGGAAACCTTTCCCCAGGCCCTCACCCAAGATGACCCCCGTGCTTGCCTCACAGGTCCGCCTCCTGGGGGTGGTGTCCAAAGGCCAACCGACGCTGGTGGTGATGGAGCTGATGGCTCACGGAGACCTGAAGAGCTACCTCCGCTCCCTGCGGCCGGAGGCTGAGGTGAGCTGGCCCTGGGGACCCAGCAGGGCGCCGCCCCCTTCCCCCCCACTGGCCACGGGCATCCGAGACCCTGAACCCAAACCCGTGTTTTGACTTTAGAATAACCCCGGCCGCCCTCCGCCTACCCTGCAAGAGATGATTCAGATGGCGGCGGAGATCGCCGACGGGATGGCCTACCTGAACGCCAAGAAGTTTGTGCACCGGGATCTAGCAGCCCGAAACTGCATGGTCGCCCACGATTTCACTGTCAAAATTGGAGGTTTGTCTGGCCTTCTGCTTTGAAGCATGTGGCCCAGGCCAGGTTCGATTTCGGAAGGGGTTGTCTGACCCAAGCAGCTCAGCTTTTTCCAGTAGTGCAGAGCGGGCCTCTGGTCCTCACACTGTAGTTTAATTGCATTTGCACGTGGGCGTGCGTGTTTACTGCTCTGCGTAACTGTGTTCCCCGTCGGTGGAAGCCACCACTCTAGGAGCCCATAGATGTGACTGGTGATGGATAAGTCGCCACGATTTTCCTGCCCTCCCGCAGCAGGTGCTCTTTATCTGCACCCCCCAGCCCCTGGGTAGCCCCTGGCCACCTGTGGCCGTTTACATTTAAGGTAACTTAAATTAAATAGAATTGAAAATGTGTTCCTTGGGTGCACTGGCCACATTTCAAGCGCTCAGTCGCCACCTTGAGCCTGCTGGCTGCCATATCGGGCCGTGTAAACGTAGACCGTGTTCATCATCATCACAGAACGTTCCACTGGACAGGGCCATTCAAGGGTGAACAGTAACATAGAGCTTGTATAAACAAGATAAGGAAGGCTGGGAAAGGAGTCCTGAAGGGAAAACAGAGTTCCTTCGTAGAGAGGAGACACCTCTCTCTGCAGGGAGGCAGGCTTTGGGCCAAAACTTGTAGGATGAGTTGACCTGAATGACAGCATGCCAGGGGGCACTCCAGCATATGCCAAGGCCTGAGGCCAGAAGGATGGTTGATGTGGGGTGAATTTAAAGGAACGTGGAGGAGAACAGACCAGAATGAGATGTGAGGTTAGGGAGAGAGGCAGGAGGCAGACCTGGAAGGGCCTTATTAGTCAATTAGTCACCGAGGTATCATCCCAAGGAGCCAGTAGGAAGCTAGAAGTGATGTGATCCTATTTATGACCCCAAAACGACATTATCAGCAAGGGAAGCCAGAAGTGGTGGCATCCTCCTTATAATCCCCAAAGACCTCCTCCCTTAGCCATGGGAAGCAAGAAATAGTATGATCCTGTAGCTTCTCTTGTGCAGTGGATTGTTGGGGTCAGGATGGGGGGAAGGTCCTGCAGGTGAAACTGGCAGTGAGCCTGGGGCGGGGCTGGAGTGATGGAGAGGAAGAGTTGGATTAGAGCGGGATGTGGAAGAAGAGTGTGTAGGACGCGCTGCTATTGTAGATGTGGGTATGAGGAGAGAGGGGTGGTCAAAAGGGGACCCAATCCTGGGTTTTAAGCTGGGCATCTGGGTGGTGGGGGGCCCATACCTAGCAGAGAAGAGCATGTTGGCTGCAGAGACCCAAAACTTCGGTTTGGGATAACTGCAAGGTCATGGGTGGGAAGGAAGTATTGCTGAGAATGGGATTCCCAGGCTGTGGGCCAGAATGTTGCTTCTTGGCCACTTGGTGCTTCCTTATCCTTCCCCTTACCTGGTGGTCCACCTTCTCCATTTCCCCGTGAGTACCCTCAGAATCCATTCTCACTGGACTTGACCGCCACCTAGGTGAGCATACACCTGGGGCAGGTGAGCCCATCTGAAGGTTCTCCAAGGCATGGGGCAGTAAAGATGGAGACACCTGGACTGTAGGCTAAGGGTTAAGACCATGTGAATCATTTGTTGTCAGACTTTGGGATGACCAGAGACATCTATGAGACGGATTACTACCGGAAAGGAGGCAAGGGTCTGCTCCCCGTGCGGTGGATGGCACCGGAGTCCCTGAAGGACGGGGTCTTTACCACTTCTTCTGACATGTGGTGAGTTGTGCATGGATTGGCGGACAGAATGCTGGGCTTGAATACCAGGTCCTCCCACCAGTGTGACCGGCAAGAGGGGGCCAGTTAAAACCCGCCTTCCTTCCTCATAGGCTCTTGATCTGGGAAGTGAAGGGGATGTCCTGTCTGAGGACCCTTGCACGGCTACTTGTGATCCGATTGACACTAATATAGGCATTTCTGAATGCAGCATGAATTGTTTAATTAACTGGCCAACCGCGTTCTAGGAAACCAAGAAAGGGGGCGTGTGTGTGTGTGTGTGTGTGTGTGTGTGTGTGCGTGCGCTCTAATGGCTTTTTTGTTACTACTTTCAACTGTCGTTGCCAGGTCCTTTGGCGTGGTCCTTTGGGAAATCACCAGCTTGGCAGAGCAGCCTTACCAAGGCCTGTCTAATGAACAGGTGTTGAAATTTGTCATGGACGGAGGGTATCTGGATCAACCTGACAATTGTCCGGAGAGAGTGTAAGTGTAGAAAGAGTGCAGTGCGCGGGCTCTTCATCAAAAAGGCATCGCCCTTTGGTTTGTGTGTCTTACATCTACACGTGAGCTGGTGTTAGCATGTTGTGTCTTCGCATGGACACTTTTTTGCACATCATGCTACATGTATGCACGTCACATCTTTACACGTATGCTGTCTTGCATATCATGTCTGTGGAAGGCTATAAAGAAACCCCGCAGCAGTGGTTACCACGGGAGAAGGCAACTGGGTGGCTGGGGTGGGTTTCTATTTCTGTTTAACTCTCGATCCTTTATATACTTTACATTTTGTCAGGGAATTAATATAATCTGACATATCAATTATATCTCAACAGAATTGGGGAAAAAAATCTTAAGCATAAACATTAGAATTATTTTTTGGTCAGGGAGATGTGTTACCTATCTCCCCACTCCCCCAATTTTTGTTGTAAATTTTAGTCATAGAAAAAACAATTTTTTTGTTATAGGACCAAGACACACAAACAGGCCATTAAACACTTCCAGGCTCGTCCAGTCTTACTAATAGTCTGATAAACATAAAGTAAAATGAAGGAAAATACTATCTTCCTAAATTAGCAAAAAAAAAAAGGGAAGGAAGAACGAAAGAAAAGAGAGCTTTAATACTCTGTGCTGGCAGTGGTTTGGCGAGATAATCATTTTTATCCGCCTGTTGTTAATAGCTGCTCAGAGTAATGTTATTTTAAAATTGTATTTATTTATTTGAGAGAGTGAGAGCACATGACCAGGGCCAGAGGCAGAGGGAGAAGCAGACTCCCTGCCAAACAGGGAGCCCGACATGGGGCTCGATCCCAGGACCCCGAGATCACGACCTGAGCTGAAGGCAGACACTTAACCGGCTGAGCCACCAGGTGCCCCTTGAGCAATATTATTTAAAGTCTCAAAAAGATTGAAGTGATCTAAATACCCAGCAACAGGAGAACTGCCAAGTAAATTTATAAATTAAAATGATGTAGCAATTGAAATTTTAAATGATGCTTATAAAAATATTTTACAACTTGGTGGATAAGCCTATGTTAAAATGTTAAGTGTAAAAAGTGTGCATCTATTGTTTCCAAATGTCTCCAGATAGAAAAGACAAAAGAGGTGAGATCTGTAGGAGAGTTGAGTGCAGACTAAATTTTCTTCATGTTTTGGTTCTACAACGAGATTGTTTGCATATAATGTCCTTTATCAATGTTTCTTAAGAAAAAAGTTTCTCCTCCTGGAAAATCCAGGGGGAAAGACCATTTGGAGGCTTCATCCACCAAAGAATAAGACTGTTAATTTAGAAAACTCTTTTGGAAGGGGACCTCATAGGAAAAAGTATGAAGCAGAGTTATTTAGAAACTCTGAGCAGTTATTTCTAAATGTTGCTTCGTGAAAGTCCTTTCCTAGCCACGAGCAGCTGGCTGTAGTTTCAGGACCAGGGAAATGAAGTAGGCCCTAGGGCAGAGGTACATAAATTTTCTTTTTTCTTTTTATTTATTTGACAGAGATAGAGAGCCAGAGAGCACAAGCGGCAGGGAGGGGCAGAGGGAGAAGGAGAAGCAGACTCAACACAGTTGAGCAGGGAGCCTGATGTGGGGCTCGATCCCAGGACCCTGAGATCATGACCTGAGCCAAAGGCAGATGCTTAACTGACGGAGACACCCAGGCATCCCCACAAACTTTCTTTAAAGGGCCATATTATAAGTATTTCCAGCCTTGTGGGCCATGTGGCTCTCTGTTGCAGTGATGCAGCTCTGCACTGTAGAATGAAGATGGCCACGAACAGTACATAAATGAATAGGTGTGGCTGTGTGCCAATAAAACTTTATTTACAAAAACACTTCAGGGGGCCAGATTTGGTCCACGGGTGGGAAATTTGTCAAACCCTGCCTTAGAAGTTACAGTGGGGAGAGGAAGCGGTAAAATAGAAATCCCAAGCCCCCAGCACCTGTATTGTGTGCTCTTGTAACCCCTGGCCAGCACCCTGCAAGTCACGAGTGCTAGGCCTGCAGGATGGCTGCTCAGAGACCCTGGTTCGCTAGGTTCAGTCCACTTAGCTGCCCCATCAAGCCTCAAGCATCTCAACCCTGAAGGATCTTGGACCCTAGAAAGAGTGCTCATTGGCACAGGGGAGCCTTTCAACAGCCCCAGTAGGTATTAAGTTTTATGAAATGCACCAAATGGGGATGGCTGGGTGGCTCAGTGGTTGAGTGTCTGCCTTTGGCTCAGGTAGTGATCGAGTCCCTGGGATCCCTGGATCGAGTCCCACATTGGGCTCCCTGCATGGAGCCTGCTTCTCCTTCTGCCTGTGTCTCTGCCTCTCTCTCTGTGTCTCTCATGAATAAATAAAATATTAAAAAAAAAACTAGAAAAAAAAAAAAAAGAAAAACATGTGGCTGCATCAAGAGGGGCCCTTCTTGATCTCACCTGGGAAGTCCTGTTTCTGTCTTGCTCGTTGCCTGCGCTGGTGGCCGCCTTCTGATATTGGAACTTGTCATCATGGGTGTGGGACACAGAGGACAGGGTCGGGGTGGGGACTGCTTGGCCGGATGCCCCGGGGCTATTCCTGACGTGTCCCTCTGTCCTGCAGCACTGACCTGATGCGCATGTGCTGGCAGTTCAATCCCAAGATGCGGCCCACCTTCCTGGAGATCGTCGACCTGCTCAAGGATGACCTGCACCCCAGCTTTCCAGAAGTTTCCTTCTTCCACAGCGAGGAGAACAAGGCACCCGAGAGCGAGGAGTTGGAGATGGAGTTTGAGGACATGGAGAGTGTCCCCCTGGATCGGGCCTCACACTCTCAGCGGGAGGAGGCCGGGGGCCGGGATGCAGGGTCCTCGCTGGGCCTAAAGCGGAGCTACGAGGAGCACATCCCCTACACTCACATGAACGGGGGCAAGAAAAATGGACGGATTCTGACTCTGCCAAGGTCGAATCCTTCCTAACAGCGCCTGTCTTGGGGGAGGGGATCCCGTCTTCACTTTCCTCTGCTTTGAAGGCCTCCAGAAAACTCAGGATTCTCATACGAATCTGCCACAGTGTCAAACGGAGCTCAGAGATCATTACTATCCATTGCTGTTCATCTATGACTTAAAAACACATTTGTTTGATTGCCAATTTGACTAGCTGTCGGAGAATTTAACTGTGACCCTGGAAGAGAAGGGGTTTCCTTGGCTGCTGTCCTTGTAGACAACTGAGGTTTTAAGCCAGGATGTTACTTTTTTTTTTTTTTTTTTAGTAGATTGAAAGCAAGCACCTGTTTTTACAAATCTCTTTTTTCTTTTCTTTTTTTTTTTCTTTTTTTCTTTTTTCCTGGTATCTGAGCTACAGTATAAAGCATAAAACTTGTTTGTGGAACAAAAGTTTGAAAGAAAGAAAAAAAAAAAAAGCCAACCCTGTTCCAGTAGAATTTCAGGCTTTACAGAGCGGGCTTTGGGAAGGTTTTTCTCATCCAGGCTGAAGGATTTTTTTTTTTCTTCACAAAAATCAGTTCCTCAAATTGACCAATAGCTGCTGCTTTTATACTTTTGATAAGGATCTGCAGTCCCAGCGTGTGGCTCACGTGTGTCTGTGTGTATATGTGTGTGTGTATGTCCAGGCTAGACATGGCTGGTGTGTGTGTGTATGTGCACACAGTCATGCGTGTGCAAAGTGTTCATGCCGAGTTGATGCTTTGGGGGTCGGCTCATGAAGGTTCTGTTCTTCTCGAGCTCCTGATCCTCCCATCTCCTTCCTTCTTATTTACTGGGAGACTGTGCCCTCCACAGATTCTTCTGCCCCAAGCCTAGTCTCAGGAGTCTTTTCTCCCTTAACTTTGGTGAAAAATGTTTTCCGGGAGCCAAGGGAGTAGTTTGGAGTGATAGTGGATCTTTTCAAGACCAAACAAAGCTAGGACATAAAAAAAGAAAAAAAAAAAAAAGAAAAAAAAAAAGAACTGAGATGATTAAGAGTTTTGAGGATATATTGTAACATATTTAATTTTTTAAAACTCTCCAACGTCAGCCTCATAAGTTATTACCCTGTTTCCTGGGGTGGGGGGAGGGCTTGTGGATTGGTCTGCCTGTGTGCAGAGGGGGTGCGTGCGAGGCACCAGTGGCTGATTTGTTTGGTCTTAAAGGCATCCACTTTTCTGGGAATAAAGCCACATTAGCTGCTGACCCTTTTGGACGTGATGAGGCCATGCTGAGGGTGTGGGCCATTGGGTTTGGTGGATGGTTTGATTTCTGTTTGGGTAAGCCGATAGCCACTTGGAGCTGAGTCCTGCCTTCAGACATACTTGTGGCTCTTGGATCTGTTGGTTCCTTGTGTGTACCTCGCACGCTTCCTCAACTGGGTGTGCACAGCCTACAATTATTGCGCAAACAACCGAATCAAATCCCAAAGTGCGACAGCCCAGATGGACTTTGAGAACACTAAGCAATATGAAGCGAGATGCACCTGTTGGTCCCCTCCACCCTCAGGGCATCCAACTGTCCTCAGAGATGACCTCCCAGAAGCTGCTCTGTGCCCAGTGACCTCAGCTGGGCCAGATGTGGGGCCTGAGCAGAACTCTCAGGTGCTTATGATGTTGCAGTCCCCAAGAGAGTAGAGCCTGGAGGAGAAACTGCTAAGGACCTTCACGCCACCGAGAACTTCTGAATGGGCGTGAATCCAGTTTCTTCCCTTTGGGGGAAAGAATCACAGCTGCTCAAATAAAGAACATGGTGAACTCATTACCTTGGTTCATCAAAATCATCACCCACGGGTTATCCCTGAGAGCATTTTCTCATGAGTTTTTGATTGCTTCCTTCTCCTCTTCTCTTAAAAGTTGTGGGCTTAAGAACAGGATAGAGACAATGGCGACCTCTGAACCTTCTTGATTAAGAACACAGGTAGACATAAATCCCAATTGCCTATTACTCTCTTATTTATATGATTTGAGAAATTACAGCACATGAAATATTTCTGGGGAGCCTCAATGATTGGGTACAAGGAACAAGAGTACAGAAATTATTTTCGCCAAATTTATTTTGTACATATAAGAGGGTCTGTACGTAAATTGAAAACATGTAGATCTAGGTATTTTGTTCTTTTCATAGTAAATTTGTAGTGGCCATATACGAAACTAGCAACAATTTTCACATTTTTCTAATTCAGAAAGGTTTTCTTATATTAGGGGAAAATTATTTATTTTAATATATAAAAAATCACTGTAAAAATCACTTTCGTAAAAAAAATGGAGTGCATGTAAATTTTTATCAAAAGAAAAATAAACAGGTGAATGTGGGGTAATGATTTTTTTTTTCCAGCACAGTCTACCTCAGTGTATCATTAGGATGTGGTTCAATAATGGACATCTTTGAGACTTCAGAATTCTGCCTGGATCCAATCTGAATCAGGGAAAATCTGTATCAGCTGATTCCAAATGCCAGGGACCAGTAAGAATTTTGAGGGAGGGAGTGGGATAAAGTGTGGCTTTCATGTGAGCATTGATCTTTTTTCTGGCTGATAGTCTTCTCTGAATTCAATCCCCCTCCACTTTGTTTTGATCCTCCATCCATTGACACCATGCTCCCAAACATGAGCAAAATTTCAGGCCATCATGATGTATCTGATGTGTGCAGTTCCCAGGCCTGAGCTACTTTCCTTTGGTGAGGAGAGGATACTCCATCTCCTGCTGGGGAAAAGAGAGGCTGTGGTGCAAAGCCACCATCCCTACTGTCTCACTGCATCCCCCTGAAGTGAGCACAGAGGTGCCCTGGGCTCCCCATGGCTTGTTCCTATTCCTTTTAAGCTCAGATGCTTTTTGGGAGTGGAATGACGAATTGCACTGGTGGGCACCTCACACACAAACACCTGATGTAGCATTTCTATTCTCTAAGTGGAAAGGGGAATGTTAAACTCCAATCCAAAACCCACCAGCATGCTGGGTATATTTTTTAGCAACAAAACCTTGGACCCCTGTGTTTGGTTGACTTCAAGCCAATGCTTTTTTGAACTTGTGGGGCTTTGAGAACCCATGTGTAAGCTTGGGAAGGACCAGCAGGGCTGTTGTCATACTTGCCAGACCTCACTGTCCCTTGTCATACTTTCAGACACTGCCCCCACAGGCTTACTTACCTTTCTGCACTTACCCTGGGGGGGTAGAGGAGAGAGCTGGGCCCACTTGCACAAATGGGATTTCATCTATTTTCCTTAGCTGCCTCTACTACTGCAGTGAGAAGAGCAAGCAGCCATTGGGTCCCAAGCCTTTTTCATCACATAATGTTGACTAACAATGGCTCTGGTCCTGGAAAGTCATGGCTGCCCTGGGGAGGGGGTTTGCAGTGATGGGATGTACTGGGGGGGACTTATAGTGATGGGCTATAAAAAAGGCAACAGCCAGCTTAAGTTGACACTTTTTTGTTGTTTGCTTTTAAAGATGTCTCATTATTATTAAAACCGTTTTCATTAATGTGGCCTAATCCACATAGTAATTTCTTCTTCCGGGAGGAGAATAGCAAGCACATTACTTTCTCCCAGGACCAGTGATGTCAAACACACTTCTGGAAATGTTTGTATTCTGGGAGCTATCCTTGGTGCTTTCCTGTTATTCAAGCTAGTAGGGAGAAATGTTGCTGGTTCTCTTGGAGAGATGTTGAGCACAAGGGAGAAAGTATGGGAATTGATGCAAGGGTCTGCACATGCAATCCTGGGACTGTCGGAGACTGCTGCCAATTGATGGACAAATCTTCCATTCTCTCCCACCAGAGCAATCTGCCATAAAACGTGCTTGTTGGGTTGAGAGGTGTTCATTTGTAGCTGTCAAAACAGTGGTCAGTGGGCAGCACTGCCTTCAGAGCATGGTCCATGCTAGTCATCTGGGTAGGTGATGGATGTGCTGTAGTCCCAGGTACAATCGCTTTTCTACTTCACGGTGAGTGAAAGTTTGGTGTTAAATGTCTTTTGGATACCACTTGGCGAGTCTCTGACACCTCAGGCTCTTCAGAATTATGATTTTGTTGGGGATAGGGAACAGGGAAATGCTGATTGTATATAAACGGTACATGTAGAATGGTGTCCCTTCAGAGAGCCTTCCAGAATGTTCTTTACACTATTGCTTTACACCAGAGGTGAAGTTGAAATGGAAAGAACAAATGCTGATTTGTTCCTGTGTTTGAAAGAATGTGATGGACTTTCAGGGGCTATAGCTAAAAGTGAATGTTTCCTTAGGGGTCCCCCAGAAGCAGAGGGAAACATTGACTTTTTGAGCTCACTGACAACTCATACCTGTTAGGGTCCAGAACCAATCTCCAGCCAAATACTTATTTGGATATAGGCCCTAAAAGTCCTTCTTAAAAACAAGATCATGAATCTGAGGCTCTTGGTTCCCTTTGAGAAGGAAGGAACAACTTCCAAGATAAGTGTGCATCTATGCACACATTCAGGAATGGCTTGCTTGTTTAGTCTTTCTACTTTGTTTGCCTGGAGGGTCTTGGCCCTGCATGTCAGCAGCAGACACTTCCCATCTGCTGTCAGCTGCACAGGATCAAATGTGCCTCGGCTTATGTGGAAAACAGCTCAGAAACACAAAACCCACCACAAGCTCAATTATTTTTTCAATGTTTTCCTACAAGAGCCAAGTAGCACCATGTACAGAATATGCCTTTTTTTTTTGAAATATTGAAATTGCTCTGCATGTAAAATATGGGATAATTACCTGTTTATATGAAAATTCTGAATAAATTATCTGAGAATAGACTTGTTTTTGCGTGGTGTTCAAGCAAGGACCTGTGAACTGTGTGGGGTTGTGGCTATGGGTTGGGCTGTATTAAGGGAAATCTAGAAGTTATGGGTATCTGTTTTAAGAAGGAACAAAACTATGGGTTCTACAGAACAATGAAGCAGGAGGTTAAATATTTTATAATCAGGGCTGATGATCTGCTGGTACATACCTGTACAGTTGAACTGGTGGTTTAAATATTGAACTATTTACATACCAGTTGGTAAGTAATCAGTACCCATGATGCAAGCACTAAGGGGTTCACTGCAGAGTACAAGGGAATCTCCAGGATCTTACTCCATTCCACCATGCTGAAGACTTACCTATTGAATACTTTTAATGTCATCCTGGCAACATGAACCTGACCCCAGGGTGGGTGGTCAGTGGGGGACCACAGATTGAAAGAATATTTTGAACAGCCTTGCACAAACTATACACAGAGTGCAGTGGGTAAGGAGATAGACTCCCTGCCTTCAGCTCCCTGTGCTTTGAATGAGTCACATGACTTCACATGTTAGTTGTTGCTGTGTAACAAATGTCCTCAAAACTTTGTGGCTTAAAACAGCAAACATTTCTTTCTCACAGTTCTGTGTGTTGGCTGGGTGGGTGTTCCGGTCACAGTCTCACCCCATCCATCCATCCATCCACCTGTCCACTCATCACCCAATTTCCCATTCTTTCACACATTCATCTATCCATCAGTCTGTCCATCTGCTTGCCCACCTACCTATCCATCCATCCATCCATCTTCTTTGGGGAAATGCAAATAACCAAGTGTTCCCACATTGCTGATGGGAATGTAAATGGTGCATAGGTACCATGGGGAAAAGTTTGAAAATGTTAAAACAGAGGTCTCACCTGGGGGATGCCTGGGTGGTACGGTCAGTTGAACGTCAGACTCTAGATTTTGGCTCAGGTCATGATCTCATGCATTGTGGGATTGAGACCCAAGATGGGGCTCCACACTCAGCAGGGAGTCTGCTTGAGGATTCTCTTCCTCTGCTCCTCCTCCCTCTCTAAAATAAATAAGTAAATCTAAAAAAAAAAAAAGAAAAGAAAAGAAAAAGAAAAGTTTGGAGGTTCCTCAGAAAGCTAAACACTGAATGACCATATGACCCAGAAATTCCATTTCTAGCTATATGTAAAGAAAAAAAAAGAAAATGTTCCAGCAAAAACGTGAATGTTCATAGCACAGTACTTTTCACAGTAGCCAAAGGATGGAAACAACTCAAATGTCCATCGACTGATGAGGGGGTACTCAAAAAGTGGTTATTATACACAATAGAATAATGTTCAGCCAGAAAAAGGAATAAGCTTCTGTTACATGCTACAGCATGGCTGAACCTTGAAAACATTATTCGAAGCAAAAGAAGCCAGATACAAAAGACTATATATTGTATGATTCCATTTATATGCAATATAGGTAAAATCACAGGACAGAGTAGATCCATGGTAGTCAATGGCCGGAGTGGGTGGGAAAGGGTGTGGCCCCTTAATGATTACAGGGTTTATTTTTGGTGCAAAATGTTCTGGAATTAAAGATCATTGCATAACACTGTGGCATTACTAAAAATCACTGAATAGTCGTTAAAAATATTTTCTGTTCCGTGTTACATTAATTTTTTAAAGATTTATTTATTATTTATTCATGATAGACACAGAGAGAGAGAGGCAGAGACACAGGCAGAAGGAGAAGCAGGCTCCATGCCGGGAGCCCGAGGCGGGACCCGATCCTGGGACTCCAGGATCGCGCCCTGGGCCAAAGGCAGTCATCAAACCGCTGAGCCACCCAGGGATCCCCAAGTGTTACATGAATTTTTAAAAAAGTTATTACTTGGGTCAAGAAATAAATGCAGGGCTGAGGTCAGGCTTACCTAGAGATGCCAGGTTCCTGCAGTTTTCCCGCATCACATCTCTGCACAGTGTTCTCTGAGAAGGGTCCAGCAGGGCCCACTCCTCCTGGCTGAACTCCACCGCCACATCCTCGAAGGTCACCGAGTCCTGAGTGGTCACAAACATCATGGCTTAGCCAAGGACCACCCCCACCAAGTTAACAGGAGGATGACAGGATTGAAACAGGGAACCCAAAGCACAGGATGCCTGGGTGCGGTTCGGAGCTCAGCCTGCAGTGCTCCTCTCCTGTCAACCTACTCCCACTCCTAAGGCTAAACGTACCTCTAACACGTAGGTGATTCTCTTATTCCAGTGAGACGGTGACACTGCAGTCTTATTCCCTCAACCTCAGGGTTGAGCATAAGATCGGGTCATGGTAGATGTCAGAGAAATACTCCCCAGTGGCCTTCATCAATTGCTTGACTATAGGACACAGTCATGTCTTTTCTTTTAAAACTCTCAGCATAATCTAATGTATAAAGTGACCCTGGAGGAAGCTATGAAAATGCAGAAAATGTTGACAAACACTAACATTTTCTGAGCAGCCCTTTATCCACCATCAGATGCCAAAGATCTTGGAATGCCTGAGAACCTGGTTTGGTGGTGGGGCTCCAGGCTGAGAAAGGTAAGTCCAACTTCCAGTCAAAAGAATAATCATTTGTAAAAACGAGTATGTGACTCACCGGTAACCAGCCTGTCAGGAAGCCATGAGCCAACCCTTCCCCCTCCACGCATCCTCTCTGAGGGGAGGCCGAGTACAGGGAAGGCTGAGCTGGAGAAGAAGAAATGGGTCAGAAGAATCTAGGATTGCTCTATACTCTGGCACTCACCAGTTTGGAGGCTTCCCCCACTTAGTTGTAACTGGCCATACCCCAACACACACACACACACACACACACACACACACACACACACACACAGCTTTCACAGGACACGAGGGCACAGCCCTGTCTCACCAGGGCCAGAAAATAGACCCAAGGCTCTTACTGCCCTGGAGGAAGACATTATTATTCCCATTTCACAGATGAGGAGATTGAAGTTCAAGGGACAGCACTGTTACTTTATCAAGTTTATAGAAAGAATGAAAGGTATAATTCAAAGGCTCTCCCACATTCACCACACAGGTGACACCCCTGCGACGCTCAGATCCCCAAATCCCAAGAACCACCTGGGGTCCCAGGGACCCCCGGACATTCGGGCCTCTACTCCTGCCTCACCACTCAGCCCCTCCTTTCCTGCTCTGTGGTGCAGGCGCCTTTAACACCGGGGCTCTGGGGGCCCCCAACTTACCGCAGGTGGGAGACAGAACCATGGCCGCCATCCTGTGACCCCGACAGAGAACCTGGATGCTCGTGCTCTTGTCCCCACAGTGCACGCAGGCCAGGCTCTGGAAGAAACGGGAAACAGGAAGCCTTCCCAGTCTCTCTCCCTCTCCCTCTCCTGAGGACGAACCTGCCTCAGCCTGCCCGCCATGTCCTCCTTCAAAATGCAAGTGCGCTCTCCAGTCCTGGGTCTTCACTTTGCTTAGCAGGTGATGGGCGCAGGGCATGTGAAGGCATAACCTGTCCTCTTCTGTCCTGACCGGTACGACCAGCACATGCCTGTCCCACCCCACTCAAGTCCCCAGCTTCACTGGGTCCCAGGGCACCTTCTTCCCATCCAGGTGGTCGTCACACATTCCCAAGCACAACCGTTTACCAACTGGGGACAAAGTATATTGCTAATTTTGCCTGTTTCCTACTGATGGACACGAGTTCTTTCTCATCTTTTGCTGTTTGGAAATAATGCTCCCATGAATAACTTCATATTGTCTTGTATTTTGGGAGGTTGACATGCACAGTGTATTTCCAGAAGTGGGGCTGCTAGATATGTGTAGCAATGTTTCTGAGTGTCATCCTTTATACATAGTGCAGGAGAATACCATTCAGTGAATAAATCAAAGTTGTTAGGAGCCAATATGCTAAATATGACATATAAATAATTAATATAAAATTAAAAAGTTAAGGAGAAACACCACTGCAAAGTTAAAACTGAATTAAAAATACCATGTTCAACTCATGATTTTTTTTTAAAGATTTATTTATTTGTGATAGACATAGAGAGAGAGGCAGAGACACAGGCAGAGGGAGAAGCAGGCTCCATGCAGGGAGCCCGATGTGGGACTTGATCCCAGGTCTCCAGGATCATGCTCTGGGCCGAAGGCAGGCACTAAACCACTGAGCCACCCAGGGATCCCCTAAACTCCTGATTTTAAAAAACATTTAGTTCCTGGGTGTCTGGCTAGCTCAGTAGGTAAAGCATGGGACTCTTGGTCTTGGGGTTGTAAGTCTGAGCCCCACCTGGGGTGTAGAAGTTCCTTAAGAATAAAATCTTAAGCAACAACAGCACCCTCCTGCCAAAACCACACATATATTTCCTAACTATATCCAAGGAAAGTCCTAGAAGGAATGCTACTCCAGGGCCACTTAGTTAGCATACTTGGCATCTAGATCTTGTTTTGTTGTTGCTGTTGTTGTTTTGTTTTTGTTTTTTTGTTTTTTTAGATCTTGGTTTTTAACATATTCACCACTACAAGGAGCAAAGCATGAACTAATAATGGAAAAACCTCCAGTATATGTTAAGGGGAAAAAAGTAAGACAAAGAAAAATGCACACGGTACTACAATGTTTTGTATGAGTAAAGTGGAAACAAGAATATATTTGCTTATATTCAGTTGAAAACTTAGAAGTATAATGCATGATAAAGCATGAAAAGTCATTACCTATAGGTCGCTAAGGGAAGAATAGGATGGAAGAACAGGTGAGGGCAAGATTTTGTAACATATACCTTTTCACATCATCTTGGTTTTTTAAGATTTTTAAAAAATGTATTTATTTGAGAGAGAGACAGAGATAGTGAGAAGCCTGCTGAGCAGGGAGCCCCACATGGGGCTCTATCCCAGGACCGCTCTATCCCAGGACCCCGAGCCAAAGGCAGATGCTTAACGGACTGAGCCACCCAGGAGCCCCCGTATCATCGTCTTGGTCTTGAACCAAATGCAAAGAAAAATTTTAACCAGAATTTTAAACATGTGAGTATTTTAGAAGAAAGTGAAATACTTTACTTTTTAACCCTCACTCCTGGGGACTCCTGGTGTCACCTGAGCACATAAAGGGCCCCTCAGCAGTGCTGCACAGTGGAAGCAGCTGGGACCTGTTTCTACAAGTTCCTCAGGGTACTCACCTGGTCACACAGAAATCCACGGATCCCTGAGGACACGTGGAACTCGAGGCTGGTTTCAACACAAACTCAAACTGGAGAGACACTTCTCCTGCCTGGGGGAAAAATAAATAACGGCAGGAAGAGTGCTTTGGAAGCTTTTATATAGAAAATAATAGTTGTTGGATATAGAAAGAACACCAATACATCATTTTTAAAATTTACTGATTTTAAGATGTAGCAAAACCCAGCCTGTTTTGGCAGCGACTGAATTCGCCTGGTTCCCAGCCCCGTCTGCTCCCAGGTGGGGGAAAGCGGCCTCAGGCTGTGCATTCGCCTTGCGCAGCCTGTTTCTTGGGATGCAGCTTCCTGGGCTCATCACTTAGGGGCCCATCGGATTAGTGACTCAGCTGATTTTGATTTGCACAAGACGGACTGCAGAGACGTAAGGCCCCGGGTAGGGCTGGCTTCCTGACCTTGGTCCTAGGGACACTGCGGAGGGGTGATTTTTTTGTCGTGGGGGTGGCCCGGTGCATCGGGGGATGTGGAGCAGCATCCCTGGCCACTGCCCTCTAGATGCAGGATGTGACCACCGCACTGTCCCCCGACAGGCCCAGAAGTCTGGGGGCCGCGCAGAGTGGTCGGAGGGGCGGCCCGGGTCTCCTGCAGAGGCCGGGGATGGCGGGGACGGCGGGGACGACGGGGGACGCCCGGAGGGGATAGGATGGGAGGGAATAGGGCGGCGGGGGCTGGCGGGTGGAGGGGGGAGGTGGGGGGCTGGCTGGTAGAGGGGTCTGGGCCCAGGGGGGCGGGGGCGCCTAGGGGCAGGGAGGGGGTTGCGAGGGCAGGTGGGCCTCTGGGGCTGGCGGGGGGGTGGGGTGGGGGGGTGGGTAGGGCAGCGGGAGGCCCGGTCTCAGGCCTTGATGCTTTACTTTTTTTAGTGAACAAGAAAAGACAACTTTTTGACAAAAATCCGTGAGGGGAATATGGAAAAAGCGAGATACCGAAACATCTCTAACTTTTGTTATTGGAGGGGGAAAAAAACCCAAAACGAAAATAACCAATTGAAAGAGGAATACCGTGGGTGGAGAGACAATCCTTGTATAATGGAAGCTTGATATGTGAGAAAGTTAGCATCTCAGAAGCTGGGAAATGATTTAATCATGGTTTGAGGAGTATATAGTACACATTTAAAATTTAACTGAATTTTTCAGGAAAAAGTGCCAAATATATTGGAAAGGTAAAATTAAAGCCTCTAAAGGAGGGATGCCTGGGTGGCTCAGGGGTTGAGCACCTGCCTTCAGCCCAGGGCTTCATCCTGGAGACCTGGGATCGAGTCCCACATCGGGCTCCCTGCATGGAGCCTGCTTCTCCCTCTGCCTGTGTCTCTGCCTCTGTGTGTGTGTCTCTCATGAATAAATAAAACTTTAAAAAAAATAGAGGAGAGAATCTCATAAATAAAGAGAATAGTTTTGTAATATCTGAGTGAAAAGCCGGGGTGGTTTATTGTGTAAAGACCTAAATATGTGATAGAGACCCATGAGATCAAACCTAAGAATGCTTATTTCTCCTGCGACCTATTTATTCCTTAAATCTTTGGAAGTGTGCTGGGTGGGTCTTAGGATGATGCAGCACTTTGGGGCAGAGATTCCGCCCAGTAATCCAGCACTTGGAGCCAAGATTGAGATCTCCACCAGCACCATGACTTTGCGCTTGGTGCTTTGGTAGATGGGGAGGAAGGTGACTCGGACAACGCAGAACATTTTTCTCTCTTCTAGCCTCCACCCCCACCCCCCACCCCAACACACGCACACACCACCACCAGCAACAGCAACACCAACAGCAAAAGCATTACTCATGCCAGTGCCAACAGCAGGGGTGCATGGACCCGGACAAAAGATGTGCTGCAAGTTAGGAGAGCAGAAGATGGGGTGGTGGAAGGGGAGGAGGGTGGGGGGTGGGGGTGAATGGGTGACGGGCACTGAGGGGGACACTTGATGGGATGAGCACTGGGTGTTATTCTGTATGTTGGCAAATTGAACACCAATAAAAAATAAATTTATTATAAAAAAAAAAGGAGAGCAGAAGATGAAGAGAGGCCTCCTAACAACTGTGTTTTAGGCTGTTTTATCTGTAGGCTTGAACTACATATTAGATTTTTTTTTTTCTGTTTGGGCAGACAAGAAGCTATTTAAAACTCTTACTCCAGAAAAGCAAGATTACTCTTGCAGTCCTAGTTTTGGAGCTGCTATTTGACAAAAGTCGGGGACACACATGATCCTAGATTCCTCCCTCATGTTTTATCAGGGATGTCAGGGTTTATGATCTAGTTACGTAAAGCAATACATGATTTTCCTTATTACAAAGGTTGTAAAAAAAAAAAAACCCAAAGGTTGTGTGATCATTTTGCTAGAAATGCACGTAAACAAGGAAAGAAAAAAATGAAAACTAAGTTAACTATAAGTTCATCTTTAAGAGGTATTTGCTATTGACATTTTGGTGCATCCTCTTCTAGGCGATTTTCCTGCTATATGTATAAACAAACACAGCGCTGATATTGCATAATAACTAAGTTCTTGCTCAAAAAAAAATAGACTGAACTTTCCCCCATATTCATAAATATGTGGTTCTTAATGTCTGGAGTCCTTCAAACTTATCACTGTTGCTTTAAACAGCATCCTATCAATACTTGGAATTTTGGGAAATTTTCAGTATTATAATAATAGGTTGAAATGAACATCAGTAAGCTTCCATTTCTGCTCATTTGTTGGATTATTTTCTTTGGGGAAGCCCCTAGAAAATAGCTAGATAGAGGGTATGTTTAGTTTAAGACTTCTGATAAGTAAGACTTCTAAATTGCTATTTAATTCTATATTCCCATCAGGAATGAAAACTAGTGTGAGTGTGTCCGCATACTTTCTGCACACAAGGGTCTTATCACTTTTTAATATTTGCAAATGGTTGGAAAAGGCATTTCTTTGAGGGTAAGTGTACTTTAATATATTCACAGGTGAGTTCTATTTCTTCTTTGTCCCTTTTTTTGGATTCTTAACTCCTCCTTATTGATTTGTAAGAGTCCAAAACACATCAATGCTATTAATCTACATTCTGTGTTTGCCAGATTTATTTTTATTTTTATTTTTTTAGCCAAGATGTCATTTGCCTCTTCATTTTATCGTGGAATTTCCTGACAAAGGAAGT